TATTGATTCTTTTCCCATTTATCATCATGATGTTTTATATGAAGAGCAATTGTTGTTTTCCGATTGCGTGGCTGGTTTGCAATGCGTTACAGATGACCGTAAATTTTCGCTATTGTTCAGTGAACAGTTCGCAATAAAGGATAGTGATACTGCTTAGCAATACACATCCGCGTAGTGGTATAAGTCAGGCCACTTTCCGAATGACTAGGGAAATACAATAAATTTCCCATAGGAAAACTATTAACTACCATTAGTCCACCGACCCACTACAGTCGACATAACAGTAGATGCCAGAAGCACCGGGCACAAAACTTTTGGCCATTCCTATTAATTTCGAAACTATCTCCAACTCAGACTATCAATCCAATACTACTCCGTGGATAAACAACAAACATGTCATAATTATATGATCAAAACGTTCACGTTTAGAACACGTGTGTCTCAAGGTTAGATTTGGTAACTAATTCCAAGCCAGACATGTGCGTGCCAATAATCTCATTTATAATTACAGTCGTTTACCGGGTATCCAATTAAGCGTATCTTAAATGTACAAACGTGGCATCCATTCGATCGACGGCGCTTAACTCGATCGAGATAAGGAATGTCTATCCGGCCTCCTGGAGTAGTTAACACTTTCATTTCCACCCTTAGTCGCCTCCACAGTCACATTTTGTCTATTTATTGAGGCGATCATTAGGCGATACCTTGAAACCTTGCTATCTTCAAGAAAATACGAAGAGTGGGCGTGCGTGAGTGGAAGCCAAAACCTAATACACACAAAACGACGTCGCCTATCATATGACTAAGCCACTTCCGAATCGATTCAGACAGGAGGAAAATGGTAGATTAGAGACACGCCGTGCGCCCACATCGCTACAAAAAAGGTAAATGGCAGAGTAACCCATTTGATGTCTGTTTTTCAGACAGTTTATTCATTGGAACGTCAACGCCTGGTTGAAAATTGGAACAAAAAAGGCTTCGGTGTTTGATACTTCCTTTTGACATTAATCCAGTTTTATATTTTATAATTTAATGTGAAGTAGATAAAAACGGTATATTTTGATATTTGTATTGCATATATTCAAATTATGACTTGCCCTGCAGCGCTAAACAAATCGCAGCTAGCAATTTAAATAATTGGAATTTGTTTGCACGCGTGTATCATAAATTCAAATTTAGCTTAGTATGGTTATGCTATTGGAATATTTCGTGTTAAGCAAGGTTTAGTTAAATATTAATTCTTGTGTTTTATACAACTAGCCACGCAAACGAATGCAATATTTATACGGATACAGAAATTGGAAATTCAGCTTCTTCAGAATATCACAGTGTGTCTCTTTTAAGCTTTTATATTGAGATTGCTGTACCAACAGTGGAAATTTCCTTTCAAACGCCCACACATAAATCGCATGAAAAAATAAAAATAAAATTCTGAATTCTCACATTTCACGTTTGGCTACATCTCAGTACGAAATGTTAAAGCGTTATTCGTTTATATGTATATGAATATAAAAACATAACAACCATCAACAAAAAAAGCTGAAGGCCGAACGCCGGATGAAAGGATGAATCGTAACTTTGAACTTTGGGTAGATTTATGTTTATTGTTTGATTTTGTTTTAGCCAAGTTGTGACTTGATTTTGACAATATAAATATTAAATAAGTGAGTCTAAATGAGTCTTTGTGATAAAATCATTGCTCTTGAATAATGTAACTAATGAAATTAATTTTATTTTTATAGAACATTCGTACTTTAAATTTTGGAAATAGACCTATAAGAAATAGAAAAGGTCATTAATTACTTTTAATTATCAGATATGTACTTAAAATAAACTTACATTTTATAACAATCTTCATATATTGGTTTCAATGACCTTGAATATTCATAAAATTAAAATTATTGATTAATTATTGTTTTGCTACTCATATTCAAGCCATGTGAAGGCGCCAGGCAAGCAAAGCAGAAAACTACATTCATTCTATAAATAGTTTAACGACTTAATATGGGTATTATTAAATCACCACATCAGTAATTTACCAATTCAACATTTTAACGATCTTGTTTGAATTTAATTTTAACTGCAGCTATGTTATAAATATTCATTCAGCAAGAAATATATTTGATTTCATCGCTGTTATCCTTAGTCTCAATTTAAGCATTCCACTCAACTTTCCACTTGACTACGCGCTGGTGCCATAAATCATTTTTCGAAGCAAAAGCGTATTGTCATTTAGCTGTTGGGACCGACAATTATTTACATTTAGATAAATTGAACGATAGCTAGTGGTCAGCACTGCCTGGCAAACAAAATGTGTTCGTTGCTAGCGCTAGAAGAAATATTCGCCATATTTTTCACTATCTCGAATTACAATCGTATTTGTCGTAACGGCGCGATTTTAACTTTCGGCTTTTTGCGTATATAGATTAAGTCTATACATTCAGCAATTACTCAGCGTTTATTTTTGTTTATTTTTTTAATAACGAAATCTTATATTAAATAAATTTTCTTATTCAGTTATACTGCTACCAATAGTCACAAAAAAGAGAAGTAAAATTAACAAAATTGTAGATATATTAATTAAACAATCGTCTTTTGATTAATTACTGCACACTTTTCGCTATTGACTGCAATTTACAAGCAATTTTATTTATATTATTACTGAGTTTTTGTAATTTCTACAAGTTGAAACGTCATCGAATTACACATTGTCTTGTGTTACATTTAATTTTGTTTTTTAAACTAGCTTGCCTCGCGAATTTGTCTGCGTCAATTTTAGTGAAAAGTAAATGTTCTATTTTGGTTGGAATTATATAATTACAATTACGATTAAATTTCCATATTAACCCATCCTTTCCCAAATTTTACCCTCCTCAAGTTATTTTTTGCATCAATAGCGTGTCTGTTATATCCGAACCTAACAATATTTCTGTTTCAAAGTTGATCAAAACTGGTATCGTGGTTTTGGCATGAAAATTTCACAAATAATCAAATAAATTTTCATTCAAACTTATAATATGTAATAAACCTATAGTGGTTTTATTAATTTTTATAATTCTTATATAATTTTAACAGAAACCCATTCGCAAATTTGATGTAAAATTAGAAAACAAAGGATCGTTTTTGGCATCGCTTTAAGAACAACCCTATTTTCGATTGGATAATGCCGCTCGTGCCAATCCTATTTGTTTGCGTTTTTTTTTTTATACCAACGCCGTTCTGGCGGGCCACGCCGGGTACGGACGCCTTTAACTTCCAACATATATCCATATCTAGGACGTCTATTTATAGCTTCAGCTCAAATTGTTCGCAACTAACAAACGCACATCAAGGCAAAAGGCAATGCGACTGTGCAGGATTTACCAATGTATCGTGTAAGGGTGCAAAGGTGGTCAGTGTATGCACTATATGCACTATAGCTTTGAATCAGCATAAATTATAAAGACCTTCACCGGCCATTAGATCTAACCTCGACGCATGCTGTCCGATGGGACACTCAGAAATATCAATAAATTTTATTGGATATAGATATGGCTATTCGTACATTGCACAATTATTTTTTTAATGCAAAAAATCCAAAATTTCCAAAATTTAAGTTAAAAAGCACCAAATATTATGAACGACGTGTCATTCAATAGGTAATTGCATCAAGCATTTTTTAGTTCAAAATTAATATCGGGAAACAATAATTGCAAGAGTTATTAACAATTTATATAGGTATATCCATAATTCATAGGGAATTTAATGAAAATCATTATCAACATTGCCAAAAATTCTAATGAAAACATTTTAAATGTTTATACCATTGTTTATACATTTTTATAGTACCTATTATGTTTAACAAACACATTTTGTGTTTAGCCGTTTACTCAAGGACTAATACCTTCATTGACCTAGAATTGCACTCCTTCTTTTCAACTCCGAAAAAGTTTCTGGATATCAGGGCAGCGTGCCAGTTACAATGTGTTACGAGTAAATATCTTCGAATAGAACTGAGTTTATTTCAAAATGCTTTGAATTGGTTTGGCCAATAAACCAATCGATATGCATCATAATTTCCCTATTATAAGTGTCATCATGGTAGATCTTGAGTTCTTTGCACTTCTTTCCTTTAAAGAGAATACATACACGCTAATAACCTAACCCTGGAAGACTTACACGCCACACGCATTAAACAAAGGGAACAAAAACAACCTCGTAAATAATCCCCTGCGTTTCGTGACACGTAACACAGCCTTAAACCAGTTCGCATACATATACCTCCTGGAACGAGAGGCAAACGTTGGGCGGAAAGAAAACGTGACCTATATTTTGTTCAACGCACTGGGAAACATCGAACGCGTATCGTTTGAATATAATTTTATGAAGATTCTTTCTTCCAGACATTTGAAGCGAATGTATATAGAACATTGCAGTTGAAAAAAACGACCAATGTAAAAAGTGTGATTTCAATTTTTGTTTGCTTGGAGTGAGTGGAGAAGAGAATCTAAGAAGCAACTGAAGCAAAGAAAGGCCAGAAAGGTTTATCCATTAATGGTCGCAAATGGGATCGATTTTATAAGGATTTGGCTTAAATGAATCGAATAAATAAATAAACTAATGGAGTGTAAAAAAAGCGCAATTAGTTGTTTATATACAAAATACAACATCAATTTATTGGAGTTTTCTTTCAAAAGCTAAATGTTCTGGAGATTCATTTGCTGCCAAATCCGCGCAAGTATTTACTTAATTGTTGTGGTTTTACTAAATTACAACGTTCCAATTAAGTTACATATTACATGTTAAGTTCCAATTATTACATGATTGTCATGGTTATTTTTTATTATATTAATAACAAACATTTATTCATTTTTATTTAAAATGAATTCAGTTATAAAAATGCAGCAGATCGCTAAGTAGAATCTTGAAATAACCTGATACATATTGAGTGTGAATTCACGCTTGTCAGGTAAACCATAAACTATATATAAATAGCAGACATTACGTAATATATAATATACCTTGATAGATGACTTTCGGTGTTAAAATACCAACGTCGAAAAGTTCATGGGCGAGCGTTACGTTGTAGGCGTCGGATTCGTTTTCGTTCGTCGCGCTTGCATATCGAAATATATCACAATTTTTTTGTTCCTTGCTAGACGATCGTAAGCTGTCCGCCATTGGAGACACAGGCAACAATGTAGACGTTGGAGGTGGGTCGACCATCGTTGAAGGTGTCGACGACGCGAAGGTGGTGATCGGTGGGCCTGGGGATCGCCCCGGCGCCGGATCTGAACCGCGCAACGACATACCGGCGCACTGGAGTGTCAGTACCGCCACCATGATGATCACCACGTACACCACTTGCTTCTTCATTATTTGATGATCTTTTAGATGTTGTTTTGTTTATACTATATATTTATTATGTTTAGTTTTCATTTACAGTTAACATAATATACGTAACGCAAAACAAAACCAAACTTAATATTGAAAGTGATTTTAAAGATAACGATTTTATCGGTTTATCACAGATTTATACGCAATTATTTTAGGTTTTTGATTAAGATGCACGTTAGTATTGCTTTACACTTTGTGTCACTTTATAGTAGTTGGAATATAATTGCATTCGAGTCTTAGAAGTACAACATCAAAATGATCTAATTAAATTAGGCGCTGCGTTGAAGAACATAAACTCGACTCGGGTCAAGGGGCGACTACAGAAACGAGCGTCAAGCATTCGAAATGAACGTTGTTTTTAGAATTTCCTTTTTTTAATAATACCACGCGCAATGTTATTTTATGTTGCAAATCAATGATTCCGTTCAAATATTAATTTTTTTCGTTTACATTAAACTCAAATAATTAGCAAATGAAAACTGCGAAAAACGCGGTGAAGAATAGTATTAATGGTAAAAGCGTTAGTGTAATCTGCGTGTTAGCTTAGGAGACGGCGGTGCACGCGAGCAATGCGCGTGTGACGGCTGTGGCGACTTTTTGTTTGTTGTTAGCAAGAGCGCTCGAACGTCAAGACACCCGGCCGGGACGCGCGCTCTGCTGATACTGCGCGACCTGCTGGCACGCGCAAAACGATCGGCGGCGGCGGCGGCGACGGCGGCGGCAGTAGAGGCGGCAGGGCGGCTTACTCGTATATGCTCTGGCTATATGCTCAAAACGGTTGACGTTCTATACAAAACCTATAAGAACACTTTAATAAATGTTATATCCGATCATTCCTGGGGCGAAAACAAAATATTTCACATATTTCAAATATAACGTGTTAGCACTATTAAAAGTGAATTCTCTTCCATAGACAGGTAGGTATATGACGATCATAAATTGTGCGCGAATATGTTCACGCAGTTGTCATGAAATGGCGCGCATAATGGTAGTCGTAAAATTTGCGTTATCGATTCGAGCAGTTTGCCTGTACGCACCACCTGTAACGATAATTAAAATGCACCTGCCGCGTCCAGAGACATAACGTGAGCTTGTGATCATCATGTTATCACATATGAGATGCAACGTGGCGGGAAACTGCAAAACTGTCAAGATGTAATTACGGGTTGTTACATATTCTAGAAAGTATAAAATGCATATCGTGAAGGTAAAACTCTTTGACTTCACCACAAACAAAAAAATTTAACTATCATATCTCTCTTAATAAAATATAATAACCTTTCCATATACCTTTCTAAACTTTAATCTCCTGCCTTTAAATTTAATATTAAATGTGCATATTAATATTTGTTACTCGTAATAACGAATGGCTTAACACATCGATCATTATTTTGGCAGTCCTAAGTTCTGATGGTTTAGAAAATTGGTAAAGATGTTTATTCATGATATTCAGGGTGCAGCACGGCAAGAAAATACCCTTTATCTTTCCGGGGTTAATTATTTTGAACGTACTCATTTCCTGCGGGATTCAAGCTCTTGCTTATTTTGGGTGGATGCAAATTTAATGACAACGAGGTATGCTCGCGGAAAGTGTTGAAAATAATAGATGTCAAAGTTCTAACGGAGTTGATGGTTGTTCTAAAACAAGATGATTTTATTAAAATTTTGAATAGGTACGAAATACAGCTATTTTGAATATTTTGAAACATGTTGCATATATTAAGAATTAAGTAGAAATATAGGATGAAAATTAATGAAAAACACTCGAATTACTTTAGTATTATAATTTTTTTAACACTGTAAATATAAAGTAATGGGTTTTTGGCAGTAAAATGAAATTTAAATACCGTTAAAGAATAATAAGTTTATATATAAATATTTTCTAATAATGGATGTATGAACAAGTATAAATGTCTCTACAAGTAGTCACTTCTATAAATCATTGGTAAAATTGGCTGTGCTTTCGGTAGAATTACGCGACCCGTGACTATATTGCCATATATCCAATTCCATTTGAACACATACACACCCTAAACAACGTAGCGTTAAGTCAACATGTTAAAACCGTATGTAAATTTAGGTTAATGTAATTAGAATTAATACATACTTTTAGTAGGTAATTGTATTTTTCTACTTCCACCTATCAAGTGCAAGTTTTTACATGGTTTTTAGGCACAAAAAGTAGTATTTTATATACGGACGGCCACGCCGTGAGTTATATTCATTATCTACGTACATTATCTACGAGACGGAGCTTGTGCCTGCGCATTTGTCGACGGAGCAGCACACAACCGTACATTTTGTAGTAATGTGTGAGCAAATTTCGATGATTTAAAATACAAAAGTTGAAATACAAAAACCGAATCGTGGAACTAGAGTGGAAGTAGAAAAAATAGCGTAAGCACCACGGGGCTAAACGTTGTTAAAGCTCTAAAGCTGTAATGCTCTCGTTTAGCCACTTGTTACTTAATATACTATTAGGTAATAATGTAGGTGTTTTAAACAATCATGCTCATGCCAGTAGCAAATAACGAGTTCGTTAAAACCACCTAAATTGCACTTTCATAATCAATACAAGTAGTCCTAAAATAAAGTAAAATAAAATTAATATTTCATTATAATATGTGAGTATACTTCACTATGAAGTTTGCTTTGAAATATTTTTAAGTACCGTACAATACATTTCTTAATTCTTAATTTATGTAAGTGAAATAATGTGTCACAGAGTTTTTATGTTTATAGCTGCAGTATTTTTTGGTCTATGGTTTGGGTATTACAACCAACGACCTTAAATTAATCAAAAAAATAAGTACAAAAAAGGAAAAACTGTTAATCTAAACAGTTTTTATGAACCCACATTTCAGCATCCACACACTATACATTATATACATACATGCTGTTCCAAGCAATATATATTTCAGCAAATATTGAATATTTTATTCTTTATTGTGAAAAACGACGAAAACTTCATGTTGACTTATAGTTGAGTACCAAGCGCCGCGTGCAATGTGATGTTGATAACGCAAAAATTTTCCGTGCGCGTTTGTTTAATGGCATTGGAGTACGTCATACGAAAACCATGCAAAAAAGCTTTTTGAATAAACTGGTGAGCGACGGGTGTTGATCCTAATCATAGGCCCGCAACTGCGCGATTTGACACATGGAAGTGGAACCATGCGACATATATATATTTGACTAATGCTAATGTGGCCCCAAACTTAAGGGAGCACATAATTAATTATCTTTACGTGACGCGCCAAAGTCATATACGAATTGAAAGGATATGTAAGCATATAAAAGGATTGTTTCATGTAAACTCATATATAATCTAAAAATATATAGTTTTTTGATATTGTAAAAAACTATTCGCATTAAAATTATTTTTACAATACATAGGTATTTAAACTTAAGATCTGTCAAATTTTAGCTTAGTTTAGTTTTTATAAATTTATTACTTGGAACTCCTAGTATATAATTGGTAGTGTGGTCCGTACCGGAATTGTGGATTACGATCACGCGTCCAAATCGAAATTGCATTTCGTCTCAGTGCCGGGAATGGCGATGAAGCCGAATACCGTAAATGCCGAATGCAAATTAATCAGTTGATGCGGTTTTAATGCCGATATTCAGAAGTTTTTAATACAACGTCGCATTAATGAACCTACAATTTTCTGCTTGATGCGGTATATTAGGCTTTTTATAATAAAGCATTGCTGCCAATTTTAACTTTATAAAGAAATATAGGTTTTTACTCGGTTTTTCAAAAGTGATTGCATAGGACTAAATTATTTTGGAATAAAATACTATTATTTAATTTAGATTATATTCGACCTATATTCCTATAGGAATAAGCAGAACAAATATTTATGCATGTAATCTACATAACTTATTTTGATAATAATTCAAAACGACTTTTAAATTGGGACCAACTAAACAAATCTCGTTACTTTTTCATTTAGTATTTATTTAGTTGATTTAATTTTTTCTACATATGTTAAAATTTTGTTTTCTTTAAGCTGTGAAACTTTGACTCATAAAAAATAGTTTTTTTATTTAATTTACTACTATCTTTAAAAATCAGTTACAATGAAAATAATTCTACAGATTACAAATATGTAGTTGTAATTTATTCAATTATAATAATATTTCGTTCTTTCTGTTTGCTAACCATTGGTCTGCACCTGCTTGTAATCCACATCGGAATTGTTCCAATCGATTAGTCCGATAGTCGATACAAATTAATAATGCATTAGGAAATTTAACACACGACAAAATCAGATTATCATACTAGTGCTCCTTTTATAAATGCCACTTTTACACGATTTTCCACGCAAGGCTATTTGTCCAATACTATTTCAGGCTTAAATCGTTTGAACTTGTATACTGAATTACCGTAGTCCAATTCAAAATTGATTATACACGCTCATTTCATAGCTCAAATATCGTAAACCAGAATATATTTAAAAACGAAAAATTCGATGCTAGCAATTAAAAGAACATAACACCAAATTATCGAATATCAAAAATATCAAAAACGGTCAAATAATTTAGCAACCGAAAATAAATCAAATCATTCAAGTTGCACAAATTTATTATAGGTAGTAATTGTGTTCCAAAATTTGGAAATAAACTTTGTTGCAAAAGGTTTCGTAACCTATGCCTTCTGGTAGTTAGTAATTTATTAAAACAATAAATAAATTTTCAAAAACATGTGTGAACAACATTCATTTGGTATTTATTTGCAACATTTTTCACCTTTATACATCTTTTATTCATTTATAATATAACAAGAATCGTTATATACATATAGTTATAAATTCCATTATTATACATCTGTTATTTTCATAGTTTTCTCTTCATTTAGTTAATGTACACATATTTATTTATAATGTTTTATATCATCATATGAGTCTGCATCTTAATTTGGTTTATCGAGTTGAATCAAAAGAATTCAATAAATGTTTATAAGATTCGTAACATTTATCCATTTGTATATCGTAAGTTATTTGTCCAAAACTAATCTTCAGTTACTTTACCCAAACTGAGAGTTCATGTACAACGATTTAAAAGGTTTATTAATACATTTAGTTATTTGTCATCGTTTCGGCTTTGGAAGTATTTCTCAAAATTTTCACTTATATAATTTTTTATATGCGTAATATTTATTGTCATTACATATTCGTATATGATTGTAATAAAATCATACATTTATTTATTGTTCTCAATGATAATACTATAAAATAACAAAATATTTATTGCCAACGAGCTGTGCTTGTTCTAGAATTTCTTAGCAAATTATATTGCTGTGTAAATCAGTCAATAACTAATCAAATCGAAGCTAACATTTAGTACTTTTTTGTTATGTTAATTACGGTAACAATTTATACATATTTTTATATTTCTTTCACATCCTTTTGAAATCTCAATTAACATCACTTTTCCGACGTCATCTTGTCGTTTGTTGATCCAATACGTCCTTTGTTTGTTTTTTGAACATTAACAATGTAACAATGATCAATCACATACTAAAGCTACACAAATATAAGTACATTACTATTTTATTTATTATTTCATATCGTTACCTGCACCATTGTGTCGCATCCATTTGCAATTTAATTAATAGCATTAAGCATTCATTCATGCACTTGTATCGACAAATCTTGTGTTGCGCTAAATAGTTCGGTAACTATTACCTATTTTCTGTTTTATTTATTGAATTGACTATTGAATAATTAATTCAGAAGCGCCGCTTTGTGCAATCTAAAACCATATTCATTGGGATGATTTCAATAAGCATTTCAATTTAAATGTTGCATGGAAATATATTCGATATGTGTTGAATTAATTTTCTTGTTTTTAAAAAGTGATTCCCAAATCGTTTTAGTTAATGAAATAATACAAAGGGTTGAAATGTTATGTTGGGAACCATTGAATTTATGGATATGTTTGCTTCTTTCAGTTCCTCATCTTAATGCAACACGAGTTTCACATTTTCAACCGATATTCTTGGTATGAGCGTTTAAGTATAAAGATAAAATAATAAAATATACAGATTTGTGCAATTACGGTATCACATTCTCAGATGTTCCATGTCACATTAAAGAATAGCAACACTGAAAATCAGATGATGAAAAACTACTTGGTTATACAATCGCCGAGATATTGAATAGAAATTGATTTTTTAAATTTTCTTTCTCTGAATGAGAGGAAAAATTATAACTAATAGCGGACAATTTTTCATCATGTGATTATAAGTATTGTCTTTAAATTTTCGGCAAGTGACTGGAATGGATCTATTAAAATTATCAAATTCTCTATCTTTAATCATGAATATTGGTGAGTTTGTCAATAAATTCAGTTGAATAAGTGACATTCACAGAATAATATATATATATGAATAATGTAACACTATAGCAAGATTTTCCTTGCTCTTATTTAATAATATATTCATTTTGCTTATTGTCATAATATTTTTGTTTTTGGGTTTTTACTTTGGCATTAAGTTGACTTTTTTACGTCGTTTCTAACATATTATTGTCGAACGTTTTCAGTCGTTAAATCAACATTATAAAACTAGGTGGTTGGAATACTTATCTTATTATTGTCTTTCTGTTTTTTCTTCTTAATCCTCTTCGTCCAAGTCGTAGGAGTGGTAGGTTGGGCAGCAAATACCTTCACTGCCGTCAGGCCGAATACAAAACAAAAGTTGTTCTGCTGGCGTAGGCTCATGCGGCATAATACCGTGAAACTCTTTAAGATCGTTTGCCGGAAACCAGGACTTTTCCTCCTCACCAATCAGCACGACCCCAAAGAGTCTAGAAGCATCAGAGTAGATTTATACAAGTTACGCAGCAAAGCAGCAAATGCGGCACTCTACCTTAGTATTGCGGTGACCGGTATCCAAATCACTGACATGAAAATCAATACGAAAATCAGGACGAGTGCCCACGTCGGCCAACTATGTCGTTCCGTTATGCCTAACGATGGCACCCATGCATCATAGCCAGATCCTTTGGTGACAATTTCGATGAAACTTGCCGCTAGAATAGAGAGCATGGCCAACGGGGACAGATACTTCCAGCAAATCATCCAGTACAGGGCTGGTCGCGAACCCGTCATCATTTCAATGTCGTCAGCAAAGCTAGAAAACAGAAACATATAGCTATAGTATACACTGTAAACAACTAAAAGCATTTGTACTTGTTTTCTTTTCGTACCGTTTCAAGCCGTAGATGTACGAAACTGCAATGCACTCGAAGAACGCAATGATCAACAATGGAAAATTTCCTGCAAAGTTGTCGAACAATACGAAAACATAGCTGCCGGCGCCGTGTGCGAAGCCCAAGGAGAGCACTGCGCAGGCGGCGCATATTCCGCCAGTAATCACCTCTTTTCCAGCATTCGGAAAGAGTTTCATGTCCACAAACGAAGTGATAACGCCTTCCAGCATACCAAATTGCGAGTCGATGCCTAACGTAAACAGCATGAGGAAGAATAGCACTGCCCACAACTGTGCGCCAGGAAATTGATTTATGGCTTCGGTGAATATTATAAATGCCAGCCCGGTACCAGATGCGGACTGAAAGAACACAACAATACTTATAGCAAAAAACGCATACCCATAAACACGTACATTAGGGTGGTCCTTAAAATGCATTTTTGAATTTCTTTGCTCCCAGGGGCTTAAACGCTTTCAAATCGATAAAAAATTCCCTGAAAATTTGAGCTCTTAATATTAACTTTAAGATAGTCCGCACTCTCAGATAAGGTTTTATGGAGATTACTTGGCAGAAAATGGATTTCAAGTAACAAACCGTGACATATTTATTGTAAATTTAATTCTCCATGTAAAAATACCTCATACATATTTACTGCACCTATTGACTTGATAATATTTAGAATATATAGCAAATAATAGCAAATAGGAGTTTATTGTTCAATTTTTATCAGAATATAAGCAATATTATGGTGATACTCGAAAATCTGCAATAGTGGATAATATGAAAAAGATTAAGGCTTAGTATTTGAATAGTCAATAGGTGCAGTAAATATGTTTGAGGTATTTTTACATGGAGAATTAAATTTACAATAAATATGTCGCGATTTGTTACTTAAAATCCATTTTCTGCCAAGTAATCTCCATAAAACCTTATCTGAGAGTGCGGACTATCTTAAAGTTAATATTAAGAGCTCAAATTTTCAGGAAATTATTTTTTATCGATTTGAAAGCGTTTAAGCCCCTGGGAGCAAAGAAATTCAAAAATGCATTTTAAGGACCACCCTAACGTACATATACTGTATAGAAATAAGATTAATGTGTACCGCGATCCTGGCTGCGGACAGGCTCGACATTCAACAAGGAATGTAAAAACCGCGCACGAAAGAGATAAATTGAAGCAATTCAAAAACTTGAGATTACAAGAAGATAAAAACCCAGAATGTGTTAAGATGTGAAATAACATTAAGTTAAATGAATGGTATTCTAAGGAACTTAAGTATATTGAAATATTTGTTTCGTTCATGTGGACTAAAACAAAGTTACAATAGCAAGATACTTACATTGTCCAGTTCTTTTTGTAAATCGCATTCGGGTAGTTTTGGCATAACAATCTCCTTGATACCATGCGGGGTGTTGACAGCGAACGTGGCACCCGCTGCTGGCAACACACTATGATTGTAGTGATTTGTTCCAATGAGTGCACTCAGAGTGTGATTGCGATCATTCAAACATTGATCATAGGTCATCGTAGCCTTGAAACCAATGATACTGAACACCACGATACCGGCAAACATTGAGGTGAAGCAGTTTGTTAACGATACCAAAATGGCATCACGATAACAATTGTTATTGACTGGGTTGTATGACGAAAAGGCTATCAAACCGCCAAATGCCAGCCCTAAGGAAAAAATATTTGTGTTCCGGCTTCAAGCCACACAACCGGATCCGTTAGCGTATGCCACTTCGGTGTAAATAAATGAAATATTCCATCGGAAGCGCCCTTCAGCGTGATCCCCCGAAAAAAGAAGGTAATGAGTACGATGTAGGGAAACGTGGCGGTGATATAAACAATCTTCGTGCTGGAGGTAATGCCTTTGATCATACACATGTAGACTAACAGCCAGGAGATAATCAACAACATGGCGATTTTCCAATTGAACACTTCTGGCGAATTTATGTCCGGTGACACCATCAGCGTGGAGCGGTACCAAAAGTACTGTGTAGGGCTGCTAGCGACACACTCTGGTTCCTCGGTGTAGGTCTTGTTATCAAAGAACACTTTTGGACATTCGGCCCAAGGAAGTTGAGCTTGGAAACTCTGCAGGAAGTAGAAAAGACACCAGGCGATGATGGTGTTGTAATAGAGGGCCACGTTGAATGCCACAATTGCACTGCTTATTCCAATTCCTATCGAATGATTTAATTAATAGTAGTCTGAGTCTGAGACATAATCAAACTGAAAAAAAGACGAATTACCTGACAGATAGGGTGAGACCTGTGTCCACACACCGATTGCGCCCTTCCGAAGTCGTTGTCCAATGGCGAGCTCAAGATAAAAAATTGGTATTCCTTGAATAGCTAACATGACAAAGTAGGGTATCAAAAACGCGCCGCCTCCGTTCTTTTGTGCCAGGTATGGAAAGCGCCATACGTTGCCTAGACCAACCGCGTATCCCACTGTAGCCAGTATAAATGTGAGTTTGGAATCCCACGACTCGCGTTCTTCTTCAGCACAATCGGGTTTGAAAACTGCTTTGCCACCATCTTGCGAGTTGCGTTTGCTGCTGCCTGAAGATTGAATGGCCGTTGCTGCCTCAGCCGTTGAAATAAGATGACCAGCCTTGTTCGGGCTAGTATTTTCAAAAGCCGCATTCGTAGCGCCGTAAGAACCTCCACCGCCGCTGGATTTGCCTGCACCTTTGGTGCCATTTTCTAACACCAAGCGGCCTCTCATTTCCTTCAATTCTAACCGATCAAAAGACCGCTGAGGATTTAAATCGCGCGAGCTCTGTCGGCGTACCAAATGCGCCGTGTTAGCCATGTTTGTTCGATTAAGACGACGTGACCAGCAAAACAATTACGGCAACCTCAGCAGAGCAATGATAAAGTCAAGCATCACAATTCCATGCCTGTAAAAAAATGATTAAATTTCATACCACGTTTTCTTGGTCTTAACTTAAAGAAGTAGAGTTTAACTTATTTACTTAACGCTGGGAAAACGAAGAAAAAATGCGCACGCACGTCTTGCGATAGCTTAGAATTCATTTTTGGTGGTTTTGCTTTTAATGTGTTTGGATGCATTGTGTGATCCGAATATGTACTCACATTACGTCACTGTTTGCTGAAACCTCTGACGTAGTCTAGGTTTCCATTGATAGTAAAAAGGAAGAACGTGGCGGAGGCGCCGGCACACGTAAAATCGATACAACTGTAGCCAGTAAGCGACCCGCCACAGGCAAGCAGGCGAATATAGCAAAGCGCGTGGGCAGCAATAAATTGCATGCATAAAATTGCGAGGGCGGCACGCTTTGCACCCGTTTGATTATATAAAATTTTCAAAGCAAACGGTCAACTAACAATCGATGTGATTTTGTGTATTTTGTTTCGTGTATTCAAGTAAGTTACTCAACGGAATGTGACTTGAGGCATTCTTAATTTCTTGTTTTTTTTTTGTTCAATAGAAAAACACTTTAACTAGAACTAAGTAACTAAGAGTAAAATTTTAAAAAATGACCATATCAAAATATGAATTCCTTGTTTATCTTCTTGTAAATTTAAATTAAATTAATATCGAGTGAATCAAATACAATTCAAAACGATTTATTTATATTGTTGTCGGAAAATAATAACATTTTTTCGCTAATAGTGATATGTATAACATTATACCATTTAAATGTTAATTATTATAGTTATATTTACAAGAATTAATAAGGATTTTTCAAAATATTTTATTTAAAAATTCATTATAATTGCGTGAAAAGAGTAATTAATTATTTAGTAGATTTAATTGGTAATCGTTTATTGATTTTGTGAACACCAATTTTATGGCTTTGAAACGGATGGCAATTGGATTACACAAAACGTATCCCACCTTATTAATGCCAAACCTTCCAAATAAAACAAACCTAAACTGCATTGTGTACCTCTTGGACGTTATTTTTGAAGATGCCATAAAAGCAAAATGGCGAAACAATAAACTTAGTTTTGTGAGCATATTAACTACGACATTGTTTTTTAGTCCTACACTGTTTAATGCGAATAAATCAATGGAATTTAAATTCATTATTTTACAGTTAATCAATTCAGTAAAATAAGAATGTATGTCTGTTCTGAAATGTCTGTTTTTAATTGATTATCCTAATCTCTCAACGCACCATTGTTTCCGTTGCTTGCTCCTTCATTTTAATGTGTTGGCACCATGCCAAAACCGACGCCAACATGTATTCAATAACCAGATCCATACCGATTCATATTTAAACTTCTTGTTAATACAAAACACGTCTGGAATTATTAAGTTATCACACCATGAACGTAAACTTTACGATGTTATTTCTGCTATAATTTAAATTGCAATCTACCAATATAAGCGCGATGTGTAAATCGGATGTGTACGATGAAAAGAAAATTCAGACGACTTACCCGAAAACTTGTTGAGGGTGGACGGTTCGTGAGGACACTCACTGTTCGGTTGGGTCTCAACCTCCGGCTGACACAGAAACGACTCTGGACACGCGCGCGAAACCTTCACCACCGCCGTCGGCGAATCGGGCAAATCAATACCGACGCGCGGCGCTAAAAGACGAAACCGTGTCACGGGGCTACCGTCACTCGCTCACCCCGATCGCACACGAGGGGTTCATTCAACCACCCACGTACTGTCTCGACGCTTGCGCTTATTTTCGGCTCACAAACAACGCAAATGAGGCAGACGGAGTGCAAAACCACGCATAAATGCAAGAGATGAGAAAACAGAAACGCTTAACTTCTGCCTTCCAATTGTTCCTTACATTCAAATAAGTTACATCACATGTGAACAAGTCATTTTATCTTAAGCTATGTTAGTACATCATTATCAACATATTGTGTTAATGCGAGTAAACCATTAACACACTGGTTACTCTCTAACTCGATCATAAACGTACTTTCCCAGTGCTTCATATTGTCTAGATGTAAGTAACTCATTCTTTTTGTCGAATTCTGCATATTTTTGTATGCACTTTCAAAAAATGTATAAAATTGCAATGCATCTTGAAGAAGTCTTCCTAAGGGTGGGATTACCGGTGTCCCTTGTAATAAAGTACAATCTCCTTTTTCCCAGTCAAGTTGTAATGAGGCAGTTTCCAGTTTTATCAATTTATCCTTAATTTGAGTGTTGAATCTACTAAGTTTGTCTCTGAAATAAATTTAAATTATCATAATATATAAGTAATGTAGGCAACCAAATATGTTCTTCTTACATAGAATCTCTTACAAATTTCATATCCTCTTCAATACTAGTTAGGATATTGAATCTCAATCCTTTTTGAGCAAGTTTGAAATTGGGCATGTGCTCTATATTAGCTCTAAAAATAATGTCATTACTTTTATATTCTTTGTATAATGTAATTCTTACTCTGAGACATATTGCAATTGTTCTGACATGTTGACAACTCCTTTTACTTTGTTTAGAAGATGATCTAGCACATCTCTCCATTTATCTATATGCAGGGGTACTATTTTGCAAAAATCTCTAAGGAGTGATAAAATCTCCGATTCAACAACATCCATTTCATGCATGTCTGAAAATTATTTTAGGTTAAAGGTGAACTCGGTTGCAGACAAAGTGGTTAGTGGCAGGCTTAAATTCTCAATAAATGTAATATTTGGTGAACTACATGTTACAAGTATTAACTTATTGTAAATTACTAAACCCATCATCAGTATTAACCAGAACTATGGATAGGTAAATGTTAAAGTAACTTTAAGATTTAGTATTTTATTAATATTATGAATCAATTTTAGTAATAAACTGAAAATCGTGCGATTAGAGCAAAAGGTTGCAAGGGCTGAATTGGCAATACAGAATTTATTAGCTGAGGTTGAAGGGATAAAGACTGAGATACATGCTCTCAAATCTGGACAAGCCACACCAATAATTAAAGCAGAATCAATAAATAAATTGGTTGATGTTGGACCACTTGTTCAAAAAAGACTGTTACAATGTAATTCAGGTGTTGGTGTGTTAGAGAAGGTAAAGAAAGCCAAATTATCATTTGATAAAGATGGAGATTATATTGTTGTTTATACTGATGGTGCTTGTCCAAACAATGGAAAAGGTGGTGCTAAGGCTGGAATTGGTGTGTGGTTTGGAGAAAATCATCCATTGTAAGTATAACTAAGATAAATAACATTGTATTTTCAGAATTGATTTATTTTTAAAAACATGATGTTAGGTTAAACATTGTTACAATGATTTTAGGAATGTTGGCAAACCATGTCCTGGAAATAGGCAGACCAATAATGCTGCTGAAATTTTAGCTTGTGCTGAAGCTTGTAAAATTGCAGAAATGAATGGTACACCAAGGTTGCACCATTTAATACATAACAGAATTAATTAATATTTTTAGATCTTGCAAAAATTCAAATTAACACTGATTCAAAATTTGTTATTGATTGTGTAACAAAATGGATGCCCAACTGGAAAAGAAACAATTGGAAAACTGCAGCTGGAAAGGATGTTATTAATAAGGAAGAATTATTGATTCTGGAAAAGAATGCCAACATCTTAAATGATGTTAAATATGTAAGTAGTTTTACACGAAATATATATTTTCATATAAAAAATGGTTGAAATGGATAAATTAAATTTGTCATAATGCAAAGGCCAATCATTTTGATATGAATTACTGAATTCTTCAAAATTCTAGAGAATTTATATCTTTAATCGTGAATGATTGTTCTTATCTAAATTAGTGGTATGCGCACGCAAACTTTCAGCCTTTATAAAATGAGGAAGATGTGCCTGTCACATCAATAACAAGCCCTATTATTTACTCCTTTTAGCTCATATGATAGTTATTTATGATTTTAGAAACATGTGAATGGACATGCTGGAATTCAGGGCAATGAAGGTGCTGACCAATTGGCAGTAAAAGGTGCATACATGTAACAAAACTTTGATTTTGAGTTTCATTGTTCCACTTTATTATTTATCTCGTTATTTGTTTCATTAGCATAAGACACATTCTGTGAATGTTTTACCTTCTTAAATTCTTAATAAATGCTTGAAAATCATGCTTCTGTGTAGCAGTAGCAGGTAAATAATGACCACCTGGATGTGTGACCACCATTGGATTATCAAAGCAACTTGCCAAGTCAGAACTCATTTCAGTTGGAATGATTTTGTCTGCTGTGCCATAAATGTGTAAACTAGGTATGGCAATAGTATCTGAATAATATTTCATGTGTGGTAGACTACCAGACTTGAATCCAGATGACATGATTGCAAAGTTAAACTTAAAGGGTAACACTGAAACAAAAACATATTAGACTTATAAAGTTTTATCAGGATATGATTATACTTACTGCCCCTATGCTGTAAATCACATAATAATCCAACAAAACATGCTCCTTGTGAAAAACCAAAAATGCCATCAAAAGGGCCATCAGTTTCAACAACTTTCTCAATTAGTTTGATGCTTTCTTCATAGCCAATAGCTGGACCACCTTTTCTGATACCTCTAAATGAATTATCCTCTCTATTAAAGAACCAACCATATTGCTCTAAAAATATAAGCATTTGTGTATTTCCTTATAAATCAGTTCTATAAATCATTACCTAAATCCTTAGCTTGCCCTATTTCTGTATCATCATTTTCTACTACAAGCACCTTATGTGGTGCTGTTATATAAGTAAATTGAGCCCACTTGTGTAACATTTTTCTAAATGATCCAGTTTTGTTTTTGAAAACTTCAGCATTCTGCCGGTATCCGTGAATGGCGAGGATCTTCAACTTGTTAGTGGGCAGATTATCTTTGTGACAGCAAACGTTATTTTCCGCACTCATTGTATGTATAGACTATTCGTTAATTGTTAGGCAATTGCAAAATTTAACTCCAAGTAATAAAATGTTACAGTATCACCATACTATACAGTTCATAATTAAAATAGGAAAAAGTAAGGTTAAACAAGACGCTTTGATGTATATAAAAAGTTGCCTACATTTTAACTCTTTAAAAATCTATTTAGATAAACTAAGATTGAGCAATATATTTACTTTATTATGTAAAGAATGGACGCTTTAGTTATGATCTATTTGGTTGAATGCGTAAAATGATTTTTACAGTTATATTTATACAATTCGTCACAAGTGTATAAGCATGTCTCCAAAAATCTTAAATCACTATATTTGAGTACATTTTGCGGTAGAATGTATTGGCTATTTATAAATATATTTTAAATTAGTGAACTAAGTATATTTATTATCCAGCCATAAACCTGTAAATAGCCGATTGAATAATGTATCGTCAATTACTCTTTACTTCTTGGTCACATTATGCTTTATGATATGTTTTATGATAAATAATTAAACTCCATGGCGACTGTAAAAGTGGTCTTATAATACCCTCGAGCAAAATAGAAAAAATATTTGGTACACATTTTAGTTAAATACTGAAATTTACTTGTTTTAAAAACCAAGTTAATTTTTCATCTAACATTTACCATTTCTACCATTTATCGTTATTCCACTCTTATTCGCGTTTTAATAATCTGACTCAAAAATCCTTGGATCCAAGCGAGACGCCAATATAATTTGACGTTTCGTGTCTAGAACGCTAATCACGCTTATTGTGACGTCAAGACCCAGCTGGTAACCTATCTTCGCGTTGGATTTACACCTTGTTTTGCTTTGCACTCTTGGATTGCGACCAAGTGTCCTACGGTAAAATCCAAAACCAGATACGTGAAGCTCGTGAATCAAAGCGGGGCGAGAATCACATACGTTACCGCGTTACCGTTGTGCGCGGTGTTGTGCTAACGCGGAGTGATTGTCGCAAATTTCACCATCGTTCCTGCTGGTGTGTCGCAAACGTCGCATACGACTAACTGCGATTGTCCATCGCAAAATCCGATTCGCAATATTCCAATTGAAATTTCGTTTGGGGACGACGTTCGACCAGGGACGAATGCATTACAAACAATTTTGGAATCACAATATTTATTTTTTGCATAAATAATCAAGCACGATCACGCGTTACGCGCGCACTACACACGGATCATGGTAAATAATATTGAAGTAAAGCAATTGTTCAATTACAGCAGGTAAGTTCTAAAGGCTTATTCATAAAATCGTTCAATGATTTATATTTGAGCAATTGTAACTAATGTGTGGTATTTTTCACAGATTTCCAGACACAAATGCTCTGCTGCTATTGTATCTACCATTTGGAATATTACTTGTGCTAGTGCGATTAATACTATTGCTCATTGTTCTACTACTATCCACAGTACTTCCAAAAGTTAAATTCTTGCAAGTCATCTATCAAAAATTGCTGTGCGTGACGTTTGGCATTTCGGTGAATGCCGAAAATATAGAGAGGAAGGAACATGTTGATGCCTATGTGGGAAATCAAGTTTCGGCTTTAGATAGTTTTGTAATTCATATTTTAACACAATGTATAACTGTAAGTATTATTAATTTTATTGCTTTACAATTATGCAACCACTAGTTTCCTGTTTCTTTTTTGAATTCATTCAAGTTTGCATTTAATTTTAAAATTATTTTTAGCCTGCTGCTACTCTTGATACACAGTTATCAAAATTGTTTGGGCAAAAGTTTCTTGGACCCTTAACCAACTTGGAAAGTCTGAAAAACAATATTGCGCATTTTAACACAAGATGTAAGGCTTCCTTGTTTCTGCAACCAGAAACATCTGAGACCAATGGCAAAGGTTTACTCAAGTTTAATGCTTGGCAATTCTCACTTGCTAGTAAAATACAGCCAGTTCTTATTGAGACAAGGCGTCCCGTTTTTAACATCGCAATTAGCACGATTGACTCGAGCTACTGGAGCAATTTATTCTATTACATGTTTTCGCCTATGACGGTGTACAGAATTAGGTTCTTGCCGTCGGTGGAGAAGAAGGCATTCAGTGATGATGAGTTCTGCAATAAGATACAGCTTGACATGGGCAAGTCACTCAATGTTACGGCGACGCAGTACACGGCGAAAGACATGAAAGAGTATCAAAAGAGATATGTTATAGAGCAACAGCGGATACAGAATGTGCCAGTGCGCAATGCGCAGATGGCGGTGATAAACGCCGAAATACAGAGGATGGGAAGACAAGTCAAGGAGGTTTTGCCTATGGTTCCCCTTAACGTAATTTACCGAGATTTAGGTAACTGCTATAATAATTTACTGAATTAAACTTATTAAATCATGTTTATTTGTTGGAACAGCAAAGACAAGAAATATTGATGTAACAATAACGAATATTCTGGAAGGACTTGTTACGTACACGCCGGAAACTCTTCCTACTCCGTCGACGGGCACGTCTTCCTCATCGTCGCAAACGCGCTCTTCGACTCCAATCCGCGTGCCCACCGTGACGGCCAACAACAAGGACCCATTTAACACGGCGGCGTCGACATTCGGCAAGTCAGCCAATGAACGCACGCTCTCTTTTCAGGAACGCAAGGCTCAGTTAATCGCGAACGCTCGCCAACGATATATAGAAAAGCACGGTCTCAACTTGGCACTGAACAATTGTTGATTTCCTCCAACACACTTTATTGTTCTCGTCGGTTTCACTGGAAATACACAAAATATACCCCTAGTTTTGTCATATTAATGAAATTCGCAAGTCGCAAGCGCTTAGCGTCAATACATAAATCATAACAAAAACAAAGAGACGCAGATAGGCGTAGTCCAGCATAGAACTCTGAACCCAATCTAATTAAGTGAATATTACGTACATTCAATATTTGTTTCCAACCTGTAACAGATTTACTAATATTTCTTGTAAATATCGACTTCCGCGAGAAAAAAAAAACGAAAATCATTGCAAACGTTTCTAGTTTCTTTTATGAAGAGAGAACAGGAAATCAAATACTGAACTGAAATATGAACTACAGAATACTTGTTTTATTTACTTTACATTGATGGTAATCAATTTTTAAAAACTAATCTAAACATAGTTAACTTAAATAACTAAGTGATAATTCTAATAACAACAGATAGATTTGTGATTTAGCAACGAAGCGGACTGCCAAATTATTTATTTTCATAGCATGTTTATTTGCTAGTTCAACTTTTACGAATCCTCTTTTATTATCCTTGGACTTGAGATTTCTGCTGTTTGGTTTCATTGTAGTTTAATCAAAGTTTTTTTCTTAGATTGTTGAATTATTAAATTAAAAGTTGTTGCGTCTTTATTAAAGGCACTATAAAACTGATCTCCATTTTATTGAAGATGAAGAAATGTATGTAACTAACAGTAGAGAGTGCCACCTTTATTTGCGTGCCACTCTTTTCTCACGTATTCGATCATTTTCTCATTGAAACCAAAGCCCTGCAATTCATTTTCCAGATGTTGTTCTTTTCCAATACCGACGATATAACCATTGAGTCTGGCCGCTATGTGCGAAGTTTGTAGTAGCTGTGGAGATAATTTGAGCATTTCGCACAACCACGGATGCCGTTGCAATCTGTATTTTTGATGGTAACTAAACAAATCAAAATGTTAAAAAGAATCTAAGCACTACCTTTTTACTTACTCTTCGGCCGGATAGAATTCACGTGCTGGTGCAATTTCTGTGATTAACTTCTCGTTGCGTTTTTTAGCCTCACGATCCATGGACTGTTCAGCGATTTTCTTTTGTTCTTCATTGTGATATAAAATGAGAGACATGTATTGGCGCTTGATTTTGGTAGTTAGGCCGTATTCATGGTTGTTCCAGAACAGCGAGAGTAGTTTGTCATAATTCACTGTTTTTGGATCAAAGTGGATTTCAATCACTTCAGTGTGGTCACCTCTTCAATTGAAAAACAATAATTACAACACAGTATGTATTGTTTGAATTCACTTACAAGTCCCGATATTTCGGATTTACTTTAGTTCCACCGGAGTAACCGACGACAGTACGGAGGACTCCTGGAGTAGCGCCGTAGAGGCAGTCACATGCCCAGAAGCATCCCATTCCAAAGGTGGCCTTTTCAAAAGGGGTGTCTATTTCGTGTTGTAAACTTGGCATGGTTCTGAAGTATAAAATTTCTTTTTAGGTTTATTCAATGTTTTATGTGTACTTTCAGATTTTTTAATATGGAAATATTAAATGTGAACCTACACAAGTTGGCTTGCATTTTTTGAGTAAAATAATAACTTGTTTGCCAACTTGAATTTTGCAGAACCCAGCTAGGAGCACTCGGTAATTTATTACTATTGCAAAATCAAATATAATAGATTTATCTTCTGGAAGATGAGTATAATCAAGCAGTGTTTTTAAAATATTTTTTTAGAATAAACTTTGACTCAAACTCAAAGTAAACTCAATTGTAATAATTTACCTGTTTAAATTAGCACCCATTCGAAACCCTCGTCTCAAAAAGTTCATTTGATTAATGCTCCTAAACATGACACAAAATCATTAAATACGTAATAAAAATTAATCACTTATATTTGGTGTAAATATTAGCGTATAATGATTTACCACTTCCGCTTTGGGGTTTTCGATTTTAGTGAATCACGGAACATTTAATCACATAAATTTGATCAAATGTGTCCGAGGTCTCGGTGCTATTTAAACATTATCATACCGATAATGGGTCAAGGAAATGTTATAGAGAACCATTTACAAATCTCACTCACTGCATGAATATATTTGGGTCAGTTTATATTGTAAAATATCGGTTAGTTTAAGATGCACGGCCGGAACGAGAAGTAGCGTCATAAATCTTGCTAATTGTAACAAATCAAATCATTCGAAGGATTGTATGGATGAGTTTCGGTAGAAGAACTAAATTGAACTAATGGTGTTATATTGAAGCAAGTGCTGAAGGTTATTAGAAGGAGAACGACGCGAATAAGAAGAGACATGTACGAGGCAGTCGCAGTAGGTTCCTGAATAATAATTACATGTTCACGAGCTCAATGTTACATGATGTGGTGGGGTTCGCAATCTTATTAGCATTGAACTTGTAACACATTTGCTCTGCGTCCTAGCTATGTGGGGCAAACTATATAAATGATTACTTTAAAATACTTAAAATATTTTTTTTAATCTTAAAATATGCATATATGTCAATTCCAAAGAATATAAATAATATTAGATTTTTGCAGTTATAAGCTATAGTCTAATTTTAATACAATATGTTCGACCAAATGAATTGTACCTATGATTGGATGTATTATATTCTTTGTTTTCTTACCTGAACTTGCTTCCGACTGCCTCAGCGCTACGTCCAACTACCTCGAAGGCACAACGCAGACTGAACACCAGCACGAAACTCGAATGACGCTTCGAGACTACTTTTTATGATTCACGCGTTGATAGCTGACTACTCAATATTTACAAGATTTACAAGTAGACTTGTGATAAGGTCTTTAACTTTTGCGCATAGTATTTAATAAGACTGCTACAATCACGCTAATATTTGAAAGTCATGAATTTACAAAATTATATTTAACTGCGCATTTGACACGTGTTATTAATGCGTATTACGGTACTTTTTTTTTGAGCTTACTAACAGGCAAAGGAATTAAATTTTATTGCTTATTAGAAAGCACTTAATCACTTTAACAAGACTATTTAGATAAGCAAGGGTAATAAAAAGAACATTATATTTTATGATGAACTGTCTGCTACATTTCCCTGGTTACAAAAGTTAAACTAAAAATAAATAACACTGCGTCATTACCAAGTTGACTACACTTGCACTAGAGAGGGAAAGTAAATCGGCTGGTGTAAATGCGGTTGATAAATAATTTCCTGTGCGCGCATATTTAATCAATGACTTGCTTCTGAACGTGCACATTAGAGCTTCGCATTTAAGATACTCCGCACTTCATAGCTTCATACTTGCTTGTACCTATACATAAGCCATAGATACGCATATGAAATATTCAAATTCAAGGCAACTGGCGGCCGACATTTCAAGTACGTAACCTTCTCAGTTCGCACACGTGAATTTACTCTGCAACAACTTTAATATTGTATAACGCTGTTTTTAAATGTTGGAGCCATCATTCACTTGTTGTTGAGGGTCACAATGTCTAAAAAAGCGTAATAGTAAAAAAAATTTACGGAGTTTTCTTGAACAAGAGTAAGAAATTGCAATGTTTTAATTCAAACTTAACTGGCAAAATCGGAATTGATATTGATGCTACTTGCCCTCTGAGAATTTTTAGATACAGATCTGTTCAAATTGCTCTACGTTGTACTACGTTTTAATCACCTTGACATTTATTAAATTTATTAATAAAACCCTTACATGACCTCATTCACTTCAAGTACCTTGTAATCTGCAATACATTGATTTATCGTAAAAAAATAAGATAAATATTTCGTGACACATTAAATTTAAATAAAAAGGTTATCATCTTTATTTTATTAAAAAATAGGGTATAAAATCTAAGAGCCCGTGACGGCCAAACTTTCGTCATTTTAGGAAAGATGAAAATGTTTCAATGTCTGTACCCAACACAGCAAAGAACGATGTTTTTGTTAAATTTTTACAACTTAATGCTAGACCTTGTATCTCCAGTACTAATTGTTGTTTTTAATTATCATGTTGTAAATTGAAAGGCCATTTATAATTTCCGGTCACTCAAAGATGGCACTAGCATGAACTAAAAATCATTAAATAGAATTGTATTGTTTATTTCGATATTTATCGGCAAACGTGGGCATTCGGCACAAGAATTGTGTTTGTTTTGAACACTATTTACATATTTATCGCTTCAGCGTGGAATGCAACGCATGAGGTCCCCGAGTGTCGTCGTTGAAATCTCTTTGCTTTCTTATCGTAAACTATCGCATCGTTGCCTGCTCGGCTTCGGCATGTGTTATCGATGGTTTGCAGCCAGTTTCGTGCCGATCGTTGGGTAGTTCTTACGTGTTTTGACGGACTCGTATTGTTTGTTCAGACGTCTGCTTTCTAAATTTGCATTATATTTGATCATCAATCAATTATTCAATTGTAACTGCTATAGTAATGTTATTTATTATTGACGCGCTTGATGTACATTATTGTACAAAAGTGGTAGATATTTGATCGCGTTTCGTGTGCAAATAACAAGGTTCGGTGTCCGTCGCTAAATGAATCGGATATAGGATGGCCCTCATGTAGATTTATTTATCATTATCCTTGCGTAAGTAACTTTTAACTCAACATCACATATTGTATTTCTTCTATGATGTATGAATATATTATTCTATAATCTAATGAAATGTTTCAACTTCTTTTTTTTTTTAATTACAGCAGTTGCTGTGCCCTGGTGACTGATGCGCACAACAATTCGTAAGTTTCTAATTCAATCATATTTTTCATTATAATTTACGCGTCCAACATTTATTGCCTTGTTACGTATCTTAAAACACACGCAAAAGTTGCCTCTTTTTTCGAATTTTTCAAAACTTACTGTGGCAAATGGTTCATATCTCGCGAACCCTTTCTGATATTTTTTTCGGATTCTAGTAGCGCAAGAATGATTTTTGACGATGCACCTCTTGACCTCCGCGAAATTCTGCCCTGACTATATTTAAATGACCGCCGATTTTACTCTTTTTCCGCATTTTTCTGAACTTTTGGTGGAAACCGACTCATTTTTCGCGAACCCTTCGTGATATTTTTATTTTTGAAGTGAAAACTTCTTTAGAATCGTTCCGATGTCAAAATTAATGAAGCGTCACTAAAAAGAAACAAACGTATTCGTTTATATGGTTTAGCCTGATATACAGTGCTTCCTATTATCGTCGTCTCCTTTTTGTGCGATGCTTCGTAGCTTGCCACAAGCCACTTGATTCGAAATAGTTTCTAAATACAGTGGAGCCGCGATAATCCGGATTGTAGCATTCCTCGATAATCCGACAAATTCGCTAATTCGAATTTGAATTACTGAGATTTCACTGAATACTATATTATCGTTTTTCTAGTTGCTATCTTGTTTAGTTTTGAAGATCTGTCGAAAATCGTGGAAATAAATCAAGCACCACCATTGCCCATTTTTTCTTAAGAATTAAAATTTTATATCTTTAATTTCTAATTTAACTACCTTATTTTAAAACGAATTGTCCATAAATTAAGACTCTGCGATTCGTTCCTTTTTATTTCTTTCAGTTTATGACATATTTGCAATTAAAATAAATTGTCAAAAATTCAAAAATGTCACTTTTTAGTACATTTAGTGGAGTTTTATGACTTTTTACTGTTAGAAATATAATTATTTTATATTTTTATCTGATAGAGAATTTTTCAGTCTTTCATAATCAGCAATTCGTTGGTTGCTATCTGTTTTAGTTTAAGAGATATTAATGATCGAAATTGGCAATTTTTTCTTTTGAATTAAAATTTCATCTCTCAGATTTCCGTTTTAACTATCCTATCTTGTAGAGAATAGTCCGTAGATTAAGACCCTGCGATGCAATCTTAATTATCTCTTTTAGTTTACGAGATATTCGCGATTAAATAAAATTGGCAAAAATAAAAAATGACAATTTTTAGTACTTTTAGTGACGTTTTATGACTTTTTACTGTTAGAAATATTATTATTTTATATTTTTATCTGATAGAGAATTTTCCTGTCTTCCATAATCAGCAATTCGTTGGTTGTTATCTCTTTTAGTTTAAGAGATATTAATTATCGAAAATCGTCGATAAAAATTATCAAGCACCTCTCCCCCGGGCAATTTTTTCTTAATAATTAAAATTTCATCTCTCAGATTTCTGTTTTAACTATCCTATCTTGTAGAGAATAGTCCGTAGATTGAGACGCTGCGATGCGATCTTAATTATCTCTTTTGGTTTACGAGATGTTCGCGATTGAATAAAATTGCCAAACATGGAAAAATGTGTCTTTTTAGTACTTTTAGTGGCGTTTTTTGACTTTTTTACTCCGTTTAATTAAATTATTCTAAATTTTTATTTGATAGAGAATTTTCCAATCTTCCGTAATCAACAATTTTATGGTTGCAATTCCTTTAGTTTAGATGATAGTCACTGTCGAAAATATTCATCTTTCCTAAAATGGCATCACGGGTTCTTACTCATAAGTTTACTGACATTTAAATATTGTAAAAAGTTAAAGTACGCTTTACACACCACGTGTGTGTTAACTAAGCTTTACTTGGTGGACACACTGATACATTAATCTTAATATAATATATAAATCTCGTGTCACAATGTTTGTCCTCAATGGACTCCTGAACCACTTAACCGATTATAATAAAATTCGCACACCATGTGCAGTTCGATCCAACTTGAGAGATAGGATAGTTTAAATCTCAAATTATAGGCCCAATTTTAATTTATTGCTAATTATTTGTCTGTTATTACGTCTTCTCTTTGTGCGACGCTTCGTAGCTTCCCCCCTTAAGCATAGACGTGTGTATGTGTGTACGTGTGGGTTGAAGTTGACCGGTTGATGTTTTTGTTTGGAGAAGGAAAGTCGCTTTCTCTGTCTGTCCCTTTGTATGCTTAAATCTTTGAAACTACGCAACGGATTTTGATGCGGTTTTTTACTTCCGTGCGAAGCCGGGGCGGGTCGCTAGTATCTATATATGTATATAAAAGAAAGTCGTGTTGGTTAACTCCTTTATAACTAAAGAACGGCTAATCCAATTTAGCTAAAAATTGGTGGAGAGGTAGCTTAGGGCCAGGAGAAGGTAATAGGATACTTTTTGAAGTGAAAACTTTTCTAAAAGGGCACTAAACGACACTAAAAAGAGACAAACATATTTGCGTATATGGATTATCTTGCGGGAGAATAAGAGAACGCAAATACAAAGTTTTCTATTATCCCCGTCTCCTCTTTGTGCGATGCTTTGTAGCATAGACGTGTGTATGTGTGTACGTGTGGGTTGAAGTTGGCCGGTTGATGTTTTTGTTTGGAGAAGGTTACTAGGATACTTTTTGAAGTGAAAACTCCTTTAAAGAACACTAAACGACACTAAAAGGAAACAAACATATTCGCTTATATGGTTTAGCCTACGGGAGAAAAAGAGCACACAAATATAATGTTTTTTTTTATCTCCGTCTCCCCTTTGTGCGATTCGTAGCGTCCCCCTAAGCATAGAAGTGCGTGGCTTTGTACGGGTTGGTTGAAGTTGCTCGGTTGATGTGTTTGTTTGAATAAGACTTAGAAAGTGTAGGATACATTTTTAATACTTTTTGAAATGAAAACTTCTTTGGAAGATACTAAACGAGTTTTCTCCGTCTCTTCTTTGTGCGATGCTTCGTAGCTTCCCCACTCAACATGCAGCGACCAAAACGATCAAATCTTATCCGACAAAACCGTAATGCAACTAGGATTCGAAGGATTGCGAATGAAAGGACTGAAGAAGAATAAAAAATTGCACGTGAAAAGCGAGGCGGAACAAAGTTTGCCGGGTCAGCTAGTAATTCATAAAACATAAATCTATATATATAAAATTTGCGTGTCACAGTGTTTGTTTCCGTACTCCTCCGAAACGGCTTTACCGATTTTTACCAAATTTTATATGCGTATTTAGTAGGTCTGAGAATCGGCTAACATCTATTTTTCATACCCCTAAGTGATAAGGGTTGTTCACCCTTAACTTTTTTTTTAATTTTTGGACAAATTCTTTTGTTTTTATTTTTTTATGATGTGGCATTAAAAAATACATACATCTCTATATTTTTACTTTTTTATCACCAACCCCTATTTCTTTATAGCCATTTTAGTAATTTAATCATTTTTCATGTCGCTCAAAGAAAAATTTTATATGCGTATTCAATAGGTCTGAGAATCGGATATTATCTATTCTTCATATCTCTAAGTAATAAGGGTTGTTCACCCTTAATTTTTGTTAAATTTTGGACAAAAAATGTTGTTTCTATTTTTATATAATGTGGCATTAAAAAAATACATACAACTCTAAATATTTACTTTTTTTATCACCAACCCCTATATTTTTATAGCAATTTCGGTAATTTAATTTTTTTTCATCCCGCTCGAAGGAATGAGACTGAAGTCGGTCTCCTGTTTCACGCATACAATAAGACTTCTCTCACTCCCTACACAGTTTTAGGCCATCATTATGGTATATGTATCAAGTGTAGTAGTAACGTTTACAATTATCATATTGCTATCTCAGTGTAACTCTGATATTAATTATTACTGTTTTATTCATAACTAGCGGACCCAACAGACTTCGTTCTATTAAAGAAAATTGTAATGTGGCAGATTTTGTTCCTCTCTATTTTATAGTCGGTTCAAAAAATTCTCCTGAATAGAACAGTCACCCCGTTGACAGGGCGCTTCCACGAACTTTCGCCACCCTTTCAAGAACAAATTATATTAGTGGGACCCACTAAAACACCCCGAATTGTGTCACATGCAATACTTAGTGATCGTAGATAATTAACCACGTTGCACAAAAAACGAAATGAAAGAATTAAACAAAAATGAATCAAAGAAAACTGCGGAATTTGTATCGTTTGTCAGTGGACAAAAGAAAACTCAGTAGAAAACCATAAATCAAAAATAAGTCGAAGAAGGCTGCGGAATTTGTTTCGTTAATCAATAGAAAAAAGGAAACCTCAGCTTTTCCCCGTTTTACCGGTAATAATTCCAATTTTTGTCGCCGAAAAAACCACCCTTAGACTTTAACAAACATATTAAAAGAAAAATTACCTAAATTGGTCTAGGCGTTGTTGAGTGAATCGGTTACCAACACATTTTGCGATTCATTTTTATATTTTAGATAATAAAATTATTAATTTTATGTGTATTTGACACGATTAGTTTAGTTAATCAAGTTTTACATACTTACATACTTATAATATGTAAGTTACTGTTTGTCTATACTAGAATTTATCTAGAACTTAAAAATAATTTATATGGCAAAACAACGTTTGCCGGGTTAACTAGTATTATATAAAATTTTACTTCTGGTTTTATTAAGTTGATGATGGTGTTACAAATGTATTACGGTAGCAATAAAATTGAAATAAGTTATATGTACTACTATCCTGCATGGGTAAAACTACATGTTTTAAATTTGCATAATCCTTGTAATAGTTCTGTAGGCCCTTGAAACTTAGTTTAGTATGTGATAGTAAAGAAATGTTATATGTTATTAATTATAATCAATAATCATGTTTCTTTGTTAATATTGTTGCATTTTAAAATTTAGATGTTACCGTAATCTAATAGCTAGCTTAATAGCTAGTAAAGTAGCATTTAGTAATACATTTGCATGTTGTGGAATGTGATAATTTCTTTACTGAAATGAATAATGAGGATTTGAAATCCATGCCACATGTAAAGATTCAAGATTTAAAACGAATGATTTATGTGAAACTAATTAATAAAATTAATAAATGACTTTTAAGATAACAAAACATATTGCAGAAGTAGTGGGAGAAGATAATTGCGACAAGTTTTGAGTTATTTATTTAATGTTTATGTTTGATTTTATAGAATTTGGCTTGTATACACATAATTTCGAGACTTGTTTTCGTTTTTTGTAGTGCGTGTTAGCACTGTTTGGGTTTGTGTGTGATGCTGCGCCCAATGTTACCTGAGGCAAACTGTAGGGAGAGTAGGGTAATGGGAGTCAGCGGGTAATGGGAGTCACCCATATATCCACGAAACAATAGTTACGAGTAACGCGTAAACGGCGTTCCTACCTCCGTTCTGGCCCCCAGTGCCACCCCCGAAAAATCATGCAAATCGGTGCGTGTATCATTGAGATACGCCAATATTTTATTTTTGAGCTCCGCTGATCTAATTTTACGTCCACGCAAATTAGACGATAAGTGTCGAATATCTTGCAATATTCGAATGAAACTTTATATAGTCTTAGTTAAACATTCAAAATCGTGATATGCAGTTCAGATTACATTAATGTTGTGAAGAAATATTTTTTTTTTTTTCACAATAGTGCAATTGTGGGCAATGGGAGTCATGCGACCCCCAATGGACGTTTTTGTCTTTAGTCCGCTTTAAATGGCCTATAAAAAGCAATGTGACTTATTTTTCAATAGCCTTCTTGCAGAAACGATACTGCGGGAAAGTAACAAAACTTATGATTCCAATATTGGCACTGATGACTTATGCCAGGGCGATGAGGATGAAGATTTGGAAAACTGATGTCTAATGTGCAACGATTTAAAAAAAAACAATTAAATGTGGTTCAGATGCACTTCATGTGGGCTATGGGCTCATGTGAAATGCACTGGGTGGGACTTTGCGGAATATTATGTCTGCGATATCTGCTAGATTTCGTTTGATTCCGATTGTTCCCAGGGTGACCACCATTACCCGCATGTCGGTGTAATGGGAGTCAAATCTGTTTTTTTTTTAAACTTTAATAATATCCAAAATTGATTGTCAAAGTGACCGAAAATTATTTCAAATAATAGGTATTTAAGTAAACAATGCTTATAAGCGATTGCAATAAGTATTTTGTTTATAATTTAAATTATATTTGAGTTTTCCCTTAAGTGACCCCCATTACCCTCTTTTACCCTACTCTGCACGCTGCTGACATCAACGGCGACATTTGGTAAATAGTTTATTCCTGCCGTCGGACGGTGTGGTCGGCTTTACCTGTGTTCTTAATTAATTAATTCAGTGATTTGCGCTGTATTCGATCAATACTTAATGGTAGTTAGAATAAATTGACTATTACATTAATACGAAGATAGAATACTTTATTATAAAATGTGAATTTAATGTTTAGTGTACTGTTTCCGTCGGTGCATGTGCCAACTCCAATATGGAATATACATATATTCAACTACATATTTAGCTACACATATTGCGGTGCAAGTGGCTTACCAAGTAAGTTTTCATATTGTCGAGAACATGTGTGTTGTCATGTATTGTCTTTCTGTGACAAATTAATCATTATTAACTGTCATTTACCGCGATATTATAAAATAAAAGCGATGGAAAAGAATGAATTGCATATTCTTAATCTACGGGAATTTTTTTATTAGATACCATACAAAAACCGGGAAAATAAGACTCGTGTTTCTCAATATTTCAGTTGCTATTATCTCATTAACTAAAAGCTATAGAACGAGACAGATTGAAAATTCGACATATTCGGAATCTGCTTCAATGCTTGGCTTCAATTTCTCGTTCATTATTCAAAAAATCTTTGATTTTTTTGAAGTTTAGGAAGATCTCTTTCTGGGATTTTAGATTTCCTTCTAGAATGTAGTTGTTTATCTTTGTATTCCCTGCGTATAACATTTTTATTTATTTTATTATTCATGGCATCCATTACCTTTATTAGTATTCGTGAATAAACATTGTTTTGAGTTGACTGCAGCCTACAAGCAAAATGAAACCACCTATCTCCAGGGTCGCGTTCAGCAAGTATAGCGCAAACCGATAGAGACCGCATGTTGTCGACGTAGACTGAGCTCGTTGTAGTTTTATTTCGGGCGCCAGGTAAATCGCGCGTGTTCATCAACGTTCATCAACTAGTTCTGTTTCGTCCAATCATAATTAGGCATATCGGTTTATATTCCACAAACAATTAACGGCATATATTGGAATCGCGTTAAATGTTCATCAATCGCAGATTCATCGTTAGTTCATTTGTGCTCGCGTGTGGTTCCGTCGGCCGTCGCTGATTATTTTTCACCTGTGGAATTATACTGAACTCAATTTTAGAATAGACCTTGTTGGTTCTCAATTAGCAAATATAGGAGTTACCAGGTAAGTAAAATTAATCAGGAAATTGTCGTCTCCACGACGGGTTGTGTCACAAGTTTTCTCCAACCAAATAAGATGATCAATCGCGAATCTTTGTTTCCATTACGCGTCACACTAATAAACCGTTGAATTAATTTGCTAAATCTATTTGTATTTTATCAACAATTAGCGTGTCAAGCGGGACAATTAAAAAAATAATATTGCATTTTATTATAAATTGTTTTCTTCGTATAACATCCTACCCATTTCTGTATTCTGGTGTTACCTGGAAAATAGATTGTCTTTGTAGTTTTGGTTCTTGTCTTTCTTGAACTTTTTGTTTTCTTTCTCTAACACTCTGTGCATTTTTTTTCATTGAGTGAACATAAGGTTTAGTTGTAGGTTTTGGTTGTTTTTCAATTGCAAGTTGCAATTTTCTGTTTGAGACACTCTGTATCTCAATTTCCTTTGACATCCATACACAAATGAGCTGTACTTGTTGTTTTGAAGTGTCTCGTTCCGATCTATGAATTTTCTTTTTGCAACACCCTGCATGTTAAATTCCATTTATAACACATGAAAATATAGCCATAATTGTAGTGTTTGAAAGTTTGTCGTTGACGTATATTCTGAAATGAAGTTGTTTTCTTTCTGTATCACCCTGTATATTAGTTTCCTTGATTGTCGAGTGAAAGCGAGCAAGGTCTATAGTGTTTAGAGTTTTTTGTTTGCACCTTAAATTTTTCTTTTGTATCACCCTGTATTTTCATTTTCAATAACGTAGAAAATGAACTATTTTCTAATTTGTTTATCATGAAAGAACTTTATGATCTGGCGCTTGCTTATACGAGTATGTGCACGACTATGCTCGTCGTAAGTCCTGTTTGAATATGGCGACATGTATTTTGTGGACTTATAAACTTGTATTCTATTGTTAATAAAGAAATAGTAAGATATACCGAGTTCTTTGATGTGTGTGTTTGATTATGTGTACCCCTTCTATCATTTCAGGTACAGGTCTCTATGAGAGTTCCCTCTCTCAGGGGATGATCCCCACTATAAAAATTGTTAAGGTATCTTGTATGATTTGTGTACTCCTTCTTTCATTTCAGGTACAGGTCAGAACTTGTAAGAATATTTTTGAGTGTCACCTCTCTTGAGGCGACTTGAAACTTAGAAATATTTGAACAAGACCTTACAAGGATTGTCCTTATAAGGAGTTCCCTCTCTCTGGGGATGATCCCCCACCATAAAAATTGTTGATATGCCTGATAATTCCGGGGATGAAGCGCAGAGACATCGAAGCTGTAGGGTGGGCCGGGAGCAATGGACACATCGAATCAGTGACTTAGACTGTCTAACGACACGGGCCAAAAAATTTAAAAATCTGATCCACTCCTGTTCTCTTTCTTCTATCTCCTCCTCCTCTCTACTCTGTTCTCTTCCTTCTATCCTCTCAACTTCTCATTCTTCTTCTTCTATTTCTTCTATGCGTTTCTCCACTTACTTTTCTTACTTCTCTATTGCCTTCACTTGTATTTCAATTTCTCTTATATTTGGTTGCAATTCATATATGCAACCCAAATTACACCTGTTATTTTTATATTTGAGAAAAATGCCTTTTCTACCTGAGATTCGATCCGTGTCTACTAGCATGCCAGCAGGTGCACGTATCCACTCGACCACCGAGTGTTTTTATTATTGTTATTTGATTCTTCTATTTATGTTTTTACTTTATTCAACTTTTTAAAAACAATAACACCATGCTAAGTTAAGCTATGTTGCACACGCTGCACGCGCCTAAGACTTATATGCAATATGACTTAATACATCAATACTGAAAACGACAGGGAGGATAATACCAAAAAGTAATATGAAAGAGATTGTAATATTATATTGTGTTTTATTTACAAACATTATAAATAATATATACAATTATTCATATCGAGAACGTAAAGACTTAAAATTCGCACATCCATAACACCGTTGCAATGGATATTTCACTAAAACAGTCGCAGTCTGGACAAATGCATTCTGCTCAGTTGCGCCGCATCCTATTGTTTCATCTTTCGACGTAAATATAACAGACCTAGAAAACGAGTATTAATGTTAGAGTTTCTAATTTCGAAAACGCCGCGTTCATAAATCATGACTTCTCGCCGTGTGTTTTCAACTAAATTAAAATACAATGCAACTTTTTAAAATGTGTAAAAACGTATAAATAGCGCGCCAACTAACATGTACCGGATTATTGTATTCTCAACTTCAGTTAATAAACAATTAAAGGTTTAAATAAGTGTTCCTTTGAATCGCTCACTAGGAATCTGATTAATTAATCCTTAAATAACACAAGTGAATCGAAGTTAAACAAGTTCTAATTCGCGAGCCCGATCCGAACAAATAAATGAATTATATTTGATCAATACGTGAACTAATAGATAAACTCTGTTAATATAAAAAAATCGCTCGACACGAATCGCGAATATAATTTGTATCTCAGCGAACGTGCAGTGTAAACAAGTTGAAAGCAAGCGGCTATCTTGCAATGCGCAAGATGCAAAGCAAAGGGTTCATCATCCAAAAACATGCTTGCGCTAGTAGAAATGGAAGAAAAAAAAAATCACGAAACCATCGCAAAATATGAGCAGTTTTCCAACGCAAGTCTTAAAATATTCGAGAAGGGCAAAAGGCAATACATGTTTGTCGTATAAATTATAATGAAAAAGTATGATTGAATTATAAACTTACGGATTGTTGTGCGCATCAGTCGCCAGTGTACAGCAAGTACCTATGAAGTTGTAACATGTCATAAGGTTTATGAATAATATATTCACGCAATATAAAAAAATACAATATGTGTTGTTGAATTAAAAGTAACTTAGGCGAGGATAATGATGATCCTATATATGATTCATTAGCGACCGACACCGAACTTTGTAACTTGCATAAGTATGCACACGAAACTCGATAAAACATAAACCACCACTTTTTAACAATAATGTACATTAATCGCGCAAGTAATATATAACATTACTATAGTAGTTGCAATTATATACTGGATTGAGGATTGAATATAATGCAAATTTAGAAAGCAAAAGTCTGAACAAACAATTCGAGTCGGTCAAAACACGCCTGGATCAAACAGCGACCGGCACGAAACTGGCTGCAAGCCATCGATAACACATGCCTTAACCGAACAAGCAACGACGCGACATGTTTAAGATAAGAAAGCAAGAGATGCGCAAAAACCGGCGCGTCGATGGCACACGACCTTGTGCACGAATTGCAATAGGTTTACTGACTCTTACTCTATAAGAAACAATATCAATTTTATTTGACTTGAAACTTTATTTTTCTCTCATTTTCAAGTACTTAGTATTCATCGTCTCTTAATTAGACCGAGTAATTGTAATTAGTGTGTTCTTCACCTTATGTCTCTTCTACCGTCACATAACAATTCAGTATATATAAATTCACAACATTTGCTGAATTTAACAGTTACAATTTGCCTCAAACTTTATATATTTTTAACTGCTTTATAGAACATGATTATGATACAAAATGCTGAATAGTTATGTAATCTATGTATGTAAAAACTAATGTGCGGAGTGTGTCCTTTATAATGAACTGGTAATTATAAATAAAATTGCATGCGATACGCCCGAGACGGCTCCTGTTTTCTTCATTACATAAAATATTTGCTCGCTAAGAAATAAATAATATGTATAGAAATTTACATTATGCTTCCTTCTGCTTATGGTTACAATCTTATTTTCTATGTACAAACAAAAATTTCGTCAATTACGTTTTACAAAATTATGAACCAATTCACATATTTAAGAATTCTAAGTGTACAATTGAACAAAAGCCGTTTCCTCGAAACCATTATTTGATAACTGCTAATTTTTGATGTTTTCGTTATTGTTTGTAAACAATTTTGTGAAATAGTTGTTGAAAACAATTAAAGCTAATAGAGGCAATGCCAAATATATTGGATGTTTTAAAAAAGAATAAAAAATACGAAAAATGTTCAATCATCCTTAGAATGTATCTGTAATCACATCATAACTGGTACTGTATTTTACATTGGGAATGTTTCGTTTCCGTTTGGTGCTTCACATTTGTTCAAAGAGTTACCACGTTCATTGCACGTGCTTTTATAATTATCTTGGAATCTCAGTTAAAATCAAGTAATGAACAATGCTTATAAAACAATTAAATAAAATTCATCTTGCAATTTTAATTAGCAGGATCATTTAGGTTCATAATTCAATAATATATAAATTCAGACTTTCAAGCACTGATTTTCAAATTTTATCAATGTATTTTCCATAAATGTTATTTTGTAAGTTTGCCTAATTTCGGAAAATATTTAAAAAAATAAAACCGCGCTAAACGATAACACAACACTTTCTTGGCTTTTCCGCTCCAACCACCTCATCAGTCGTGAACTTAAGGAGACCGGCCATCGCCGCAGCGGCTGCGGCTGCAGTGTTGGAGTCGCCACCATCAGAGATGGTGCTCACTGGCGAACCCGGGCTGTTAATGTCCGGAGCGCTGGAAGTACGCATTTGCATGCGCTGCTTTTTAAGATCGGCGAGCGTTCCCGTGCCATTAATTGTCACCAATACGTGGACGACAGTAACCTTTGCGTCACCGTTGCTGTTATATCCTTTATCGTTTTTACACTCGATTACCTCTTCGACTAGGCCATCGTCATCATCGTCTTTGCCATCGGGAGCACGCCGTTCCAACCCCTCCAAGCTATTCATGTTGGCAGCCACTAGACTTCGCTCGTTGTTTGGTTCTTTAGCATGGTGATTATTGTTGACTTGAGGCGTAATGCCATTTTGTAACGAACCGTTCATTTGGACTAATTGTTCGTCCGTGTTGAGTCCCTAAAAATCAAAATTTCACGATAAGTACATATATGTTACTAGATTTGAAATATATTTCATATTAAAGTATCTTTAATAAACCAAATTATAAATCAAAACATAATAAATCCTGATCCAGTCGCATATAAGCAGTCATAATTCTGATATGAAGACTATTTCAAATGTGTTCATCATATACAAGGTATTTAATCAATCTAATATTCCCGGTTAGAATACATACATTCACTGAACAGTAGCGTTCCAGGTGTATGGATAACTAGATAGTATTTCATAAAGTTCAAATGTAAAAGTAATAAATGTAGGTAATTGATTGGCACACGCGCGTTAGCTGCTGTTGTTTTATATTAATTCCGTGTAACAACAAACTGAAGCAAACATTAAGTTAATAGCTTAGCGGAAGATGTTTCCTTCAACTTATGTTGCGAATACTGTAGTGTACTTTATATTTAATTCTATTTGTTTGTGAAGAGGGATTGAAATAGTTTATGTTTATCTTGGATGTTTATAACAGTCGTAGTGTTTCGGCACGCTTGTTCATTGTTTCCAACTCGCTTATTCCGTCGATTAACTATTGTTTGATTACAGGGAAGAACATAATTCAGAGCAAGAGCAGTGTCACAGAGCAATTCTGTGGCAAACAAAAACTTCCAAAAATAGCCGGTATGTAAACAAATCGCCCATGTATAATAATGATTTTATAATGTTTCAAGGTAAAAAAGTATAAACCCCCTAAAATTACAATTTTCAAATCTAATGTATAAATATATTCACTACAAGGGTTTGAAGTTATTATTTGAAATAAATTTATAATTTATTTCCGTTCTTTTTTGTTAATCCAGGCTTCAGGACTTACTTTGAACGAAACCAAAATAACGCCGGTGTTTTTCTTAGTACGCTTCATCCTGGTGCGCCCTTTTTACAGTTGTCTAAGTTAATACAGCGTTCCCGTCGCGGACACGTCCGAACACCCGTGGAATGGGATTACGAAGTACATAACAAACAGTTGCACCAAAAATTCTTTGAGCACAGTAGTGTGCAATGCCGAAGTTCAACAAAGTGTTGATAATAAACACTGCACTTCTCAAGAAACGCTCACTAAATTGCACTGCAGGCGACATGCATTTATTACAAATAGCCCAAAGCACTTTATCGCAGCGCACGTTTTAAATTGCAATTTTGCTTGACGCCACGCTCGAAACATACACCACGAAAGCTCGACGAAAATTAAGTGAAAAGAAAAAAACTGAATCGCATTAAAAACAAAAAGTGAAATAGTATCATGGTGGAATGAGTTCGATGTTGTAAAGACGCGAAACGGCGCACAAGAAGGTTGAACAAGCAGCCACTCAGGTACCACTCAGGTGGTAACGCACCAAAGTGAGCGATTTAATATTCCTGCATGGGTTGCGCAGTTCTAGGAGTGTCGATGGCACGTCGTCAAAACGCATATATGAGCTTCGTATACTATGAGTAATTGCGTGTTAGACAATGTTATGATCGGCATGTTATTGCCAATTTTAATGTATTGCATTATATTTGAATTACGCATTTTTATATTTTCGACAATAAAATGTGTATGTACCTTTAATTAATCCTATAATGGCTGAGACAATGTGCATTTAAAAATAACAACTCTTACTATGTCACATTTCGTGTATATTGCGTATCAATTAAAATAAAAAGAGAAATTACGAAAACGCGTATTAAGAAATTAAAAAAATAATTAACAAACAAAACTGAATTAATTATTACGTTAATTAGAGTGCAATGTATCATTGCGTTCATATAAATAAATTGTTTGTTTACATAGTACTTGCTAGTTTCACTATCTCGATTTCGATTTTCTTTGACCACGTGCAATCGTTAAATGTGGTTTTAATTAATTATAAATCCTTGTAATTATCACTCCCTATATTATGAATACTTGCAGTTCAAGTTACGACATTACATTGTTGATTGTGCCATGCCGTTTTGCAATATCCGCTGCATTTCCTGCCAATATTAAAGCGCATAAAACATAAAACGTATAAATCTCGATAGTAAAGTTGGCAAAACGGGGCAATTCCGAAAGCAACTGTAATAAATAGATGCAGGTGCATTTTGTTACAACACAAAATGCTTTGCCATTGATGGTACCATACTAAAACTAATAATATGCAAAAACAAAACCAAAACAAATGAACAAGATAAGTAATTCAAATGTATAATTAAAATTCTTATACAAGTTCCATTCAGCTAAATGTAAAGTAGAACGTTCTTCACACTTCAAACAATATTCAATAAGGCTGCAAGAAGATTGAAGTTATACACAGCGCAAACGTTATTTGCCGTAAGAAGTTGCATGTTCTTCTACTCGCTTGATTGTTCAAACGTAGAATGAATAATAAAAACATGTAGCAAATGAATAATGAGTACACCGTGTATGCGGTTGGCTTAATTGTGATTTTAATAATTAGGAAGAGCGTGCTACACTAGTACATGGTGTGCGATGTTTCATGTTACGTTAATCGAAGACGCATTACATATTATGTTTACGCTGCGGCCGCAGCGTTGTGTAAATACTAATGTAATTAGTTTAGATAGCAATTTGCAACATAATCAATTGCATATAGTCAAAATTTCATTATTATGGTGCAGAGGGTACTATAAACAATTTGGATCAACGTAAACTATGAGTTTGTTAAATTTAAGTTTCTACAACTCATTACTTCATGAAATTGAATGTAAGCGAGTACCATTGCGGTTCAAAGACGCGCAGCATTTAGTATGATTGTGTTTTGCATGTTCTTTTCATTTGAAAGACTTGAAAACGGCCGAATTTATTGAAAAACTTTTAGGACGCATGATTCAAGCGCTATCTGTTACTTTTCTTTTATTTGAGCAAGACGAAGATGTTAGTTAAGAAAGCAGCGAAATGCGAAGTTAGAAAAAAGTTTCTTAAATATATTCTTTACAGAAAATACGATTTTAGTACATTTTCATGTATAAAAAATCTTCAAGAAAATATTTTTCTATAAAGCATAATTAATCTCTTTAATCGAAATCCTCGAGAAAATCTCTGATTTACCCTTTCCTACGGGTATGATACTTAAACTCATCGCTGCAAATCTAATCATATCAATGTTTGTGTCATCCCTTTCTAGAAAGATTTACAGCTATGTGTGCAAATACTTCCATCATGCATCACGCATCCTAACGTTTTAAGGCCCTACTGCAAGATAAACTTCACTCAAATATTCAGAATGTTACCAAATTTTCTGGATCCTTTTGGCAACAACATAGACATATGAGCGTGTGCTAACTACAATGTTCAACCGTAAATAGGACACGTTCCATTAGATTAAAACGCAACGCAATAATACATCGCTAATGTGAAATACAACTCTGCAAACTTACCTGTACCGCCTCTCGCCTAAAGCGTAACTCCTCGGCCGCGTCCCTCCGAGCCGTCTGGCCCTTATCACGCAACGACGTTCGCCGCACAGACTGTGTCCTTGTATTGCTGCTTTGCGTCCTTTTCACCTTTGTTCTTTTCTGGGCTTCAGCAGCACGTTTATGCTCCTGCTCCATAATTAGTTCAGTAATCCTATCTTTCATTTCCTGATCTTCACAAATATCTAAAAAAAAAAAAAAGATAAAATACCATGAACGTATTATGTTATCATATGTAATATTGGACTTCGTTTCTAAGCTATTTGTGTGAGTATGTGCTAAATTTTCAAGTAGGATTTACCTGCAGGCGTTTCCTCGTGTTTATTCTTGGCCGTAAGATCTGCCCCGTTGAGCTCCAGGAGCTCCAGCACTTCTAGCTGCAACATGACATAGTTGAGAACGGTTAATTATTATCGATCTATTCAGTGTCTGCCCTTAATAGCTTGCATAGCCTGCAAACTATTCATCACAGAACGGCACAGTCGTTTCGTGACTATGGGAAAAACAAGTAAACAATGGTCGAGTCTCGAGTCTAAGGGCGATGTTGTTAATAACCGTTCGTCTGAACAAACAATACGCATCCTTTGCAGGCGCCTATAGCGATTAAATGACTGGACTAGGAAATTGTAGCTTGTATATAAGTTTCATTTTGTTAAAGTGATTTATGAATAGTAGCGCAGTACGAAATAAGAATTTTAAATTTAAAATTATGCATTAAAAAAAAATCGTACTTTAATTAAATTGTATTTAACTTACGTGTCCCCAACAAGCTGCTGCATGAGCCGGCCGCCAGTCGTCCTTGTCCTTGACATCCGTATTTACGTTATTTTTTAAGAGGAACTCGACTACTGACATGTAACCGTTTGCTGCAGCAATATGGAGCTGAAATTTAAAAAAAATTAATCCCCAAATCAAACTTTCTCATTCAACATAGTGTGAACATATTGACAATCCGTTCGGATTTTATGAGATAATAAAATGAGGATTACGTCAAGACGATATAGGGTTCGATAGTAACGCTAAAGATTGAGCAATAAAATCGCATTTCGCCTCTTAGGCTGATACGTTGTTAATTTGATGAAAGTTCCTACGTTTTCCTACGCTTTCTCGCAAAATCATGTAGTTAGAAAATATTGTTTACTTCGTGCTTGATTTATTAATATTTTATTAAAGGCACAAGCACGGAAAAGTAGATGAAGGTAATTAGAAATTCTCTGTTTAAATACATTAGTATAGATGAATAATTTACTTGTTTACTTTTAAAACTTGGGCCTAAAGAAACTTAAAGAAAATGGAAATTTTGTTTCCAATATAAAAGACAATTAAATTGAATAAATAAAAATATTCATTAATCAATAAAAAAATATAAATTGTGATTTATCTCAATTTATATCTTTTCATATTTATTCTCAAAAGGCAGTGCGAACTGTATCCCAATTCAATTCAATTTCAACATCAATTCAATTTGCGGAGGCGCCGGCTACACAAACCGCCTGCGCCATCAGAGTCGAGAATATAAGGCCTGCTCTCCGCGCAGCTATTAAAAGAAGGTACGATAAACCTAGAAAATTCAGCAAAAAACACACATGAAAACGCGATTTCAATTGTTGAAGTCGTGTGTGTTAACTCTGCGTCCCTTTTCAGCGGTAAACCTAAAATTCAATTTAGCAAAATGAAATAAAAGGGAACAAATTGAATATATTACAAAAACTGTGATTTCTTTCTTTGCATAGCATAGTTGCTAAAAACTCGAACCATTTCTTTTTAATTTGTTTTCGATGCTACACAGCAGATGTTAACAATTTAGTGCCATTTTTACTCAATTACCGAAAAGATACAAAAAATAACACAAATTAAATCCCCTTGCTAAATTAGACGTGAAATAAATCGGGACCCATGCAGCCGTGTGTTTGCAAGGTTCGTTAATCTTACGAACACGTTTTTTAGCTGTTTTGTCTGAAAACCAACTCATCACATAACTGCCGAAAAACATTGTACAAAAACAATATATGTGCTTGAAACTGTTTAATCAGGAACTCGCATTATATGTGAGTCGAAAACAAAGTAAAAAGACAGAACTCCCAAGGAAAAAAGAAAGTTTTCAAACCTCGCGCACGGGCATACGAAAAAAAACTAATGGTTAGCTGCGTCTAAAATAAAGCGAAATGCTTGAACCTCGATTGGGAAAAAGCAAACACTGGAAACAAAGAAAAGACTCCAACTACGTCTAAGCAGTTACAAAAGCGTGTGCGAAAACAAACAATTGTTTAGGTCCCGAACGTTTCGTTTAACTATATCTTAGCACCTTAAAGGCTCAGTGGGGGCAGAAACCAAGTGCCCATCCGTATTTTATAATCGATATCCTGGTTGACATTTACGAGCTCCAAAGCCAGCCAAGTCAAGGCACCTCGAAACGCATCGACCCATCATACTCTCGTAGAGCGTTTACCCGTCCATACAACTTCATTTAATTTCTAAATTAAAAGACAGCTTAATATTCCTTTCGATTCCTGATCGTTTCTACCAGTTAATTGGAATCGACCCTTCCTCAATGTAATTATGATTCCGATAGTAATTTCGCCGAATTATGGATAGCTTTTTGCATTTCAACTTTTCAGTTAAATATAAGTACGAGTATTGTAGCAGAAATAATTTTGTTTTCAAATTCACATCGACATAGTTAGTCTAAGCAAACGAGCACTGAAAAATATGAGCCCATTGTCGAACATGCCTTAATTTGGAAGAATTCAGTAATGGAAAACTTTCGGAATGAATAATGTTAATCATAATGTTTTCGACTTTCTGCCTTCAACGCGAATTTTCCGACAGCGGCAGCGTCTAAAGCAAAGCTGAAAAGTTACGCAACACAATCAACTCATAGAATTTGAACTCATAAAATGTTTGAAAATTTATCGCGCAATGTCTGAGTAAGATTTGTTCCAAAATATTACAATTTATTTTAACTTTCAAACACTCAAAATATTTTCTTGAGGGGTTGAAAATTTAGGGAAATAAATGTAAAGAAAAGAAAACGAATAAATTATAAATATTCCTGAAACTGTCATTTGTTAAAACTATTCGATAAACTCAAATAACCAGAAAAAAAAGAAAATGTACTCTTAATACTGCTCATCATTTCAGACTTTCAAATAACATAACGAAATGCTGTGAGGTGATTTCTTCTTACAGCACGTATTCTCATTCCTCGCTTACTATAATCATGAAATTCAAGCGCTGTATAATAGAGATGTATGCAAATCGCATTCAATGTCTTCAACACGTATTACAATCACACATTGTCGCGGCATAATCAATTTCCATCTTAAATCATTTAGCAGCAAGGCATTGTTTTCATAGCTTTATATTGCGGGTATAAATGAAGATCATCACAATTTCATGTATTCGTATATAAATCCCGTGTTGATGAATTCAATTATCTGTATTAATATTAATAGACGTTGAAAGTAGGGAATTAATTCTCACTTAGCCTCCGCTATGTGCTAAATTAATTAATTTCAGCGCAAGTATTACAATGGATTACATCTGGTATGTGTGCAAATTAAGTAATGGACTTTGATTTAATGTAGGGGGTACTTAAATTATAATCTCATAAATTAATATGACAGTTTTCCATCTCTTTACATTTACACTCATTCATACTCTGTCGAGCATCCAGTAGATATATAAAAAATAAATTAGAATTATAAAAATTAACTAAAATTCGAACTAGGTTATAAAATAGGCAATTCAAATATTGAACAATGGGATGTACGAAAAGCTTTAACAAGCAATCATAGAGATTTTGATATTTTAAAATATCTTCTGTAAACTTCTTTTGGGATTGCGTCTAATTGAATAAATATATCTTTGCAACCGAAAGTTTAATCCATTGTTGAAATGTCTAAGGAAGAATCCGAACATAAAAAAGTATCTATTCCTTTGATACGTTTTTTTGACAACACAGAAAGATTGGAGCAATGAGTATCAATAACTTACCGGTGTGGCATTCTGAGCGTCCGGCACTTCCAAATCACCCCCGTTTACCGCAATGCGTTGCAGGTCGTCCAGCATCCGCTTTTCGGTCTGCGCTCGCGTGTCGTCGATCAGCTGTTGTGTAACTCCCCGCCGAGCCATTTCGCTTTCAATGTAGTCCAACGCCTTATCATCCTCGCAAATATCGTACGGCATGTTGCCGTCGGCGTTCACAGCCAATAAATTTGCCCCTCTCCCTATTAATATTCTAAAACATAAGAAATGGAATAATTCAACTTCTATCTACCTTATATTAGAGTAGATAAGATATTTGCAGTACTTGATTAGTTTTAAATGTCCACATGTGGCGGCAGCATGAAGCGGCGTCCACTTTTCGCTGTCCTCCGCGTTTACATTGGCGCCGTACTCTAGAAGTAGTTGCAGCATCGATTCGTTGTCGTCGATGCAGCACTGATGCAGGGCCGTCAATCCGTCCTCGTTGCTTGAATTTGGATTGACGCCTTTCATCAACAGACGTCGGACTGTAATCACACAATACAAGAAGATTATTCAAAACATGATAAATTTATAAATAGGCTGGCATTGTAAACAAAAAAACAACTTATTAAATATTTGTTATTTTTACTGCTCATTATAAGTATAAATACCTCGATAATTTCATTATAACGTAAAATTAGAACATTAGACCATGAATATTTTAAGCCTATTATTTAGGCAAAAAGTCTTCTTCCCTTTTTGCTAATGCTACTAACATTCATTATCATTCTCAATCAATTTCCAGAATTTTATTGTTCAGAGAAAAGTAGGGCATAGGTATATAAAATATTCCAACATTACAAATAATTATCCGCTATAAAATGAGCGCAGTAAAAATTATCCTGACACACTAACCATAATCCGCTGATCGCATGCCACCTTATGATAGACTTTGATATCGCGTCCAAATCAAAATTTCCCCACGATGTAACATTTTCCTGCATCGACAATATAACCAAACAATGGATTACCTCAATTTTACGTGGCCAGGTAATAGAGTGTACAACAGAAGCTTGTAGGATTTGCATACCACTACTCTGCATTGAGCAAATGAGCATAAAACACTTTCCAGAACTACATAATCCATTGGTTCGAACACGGCGCAAAAGACGCATGCGAATTTATCGAGCGCGGCCAACTGCGTTCGCGCGAAACAAGCGACTCACGGTATTGCAAACTCGTTGATGTTATTAAAACAGGTCGTAAATCGTTGAAGTAGGAAGCGCTTTCTCAAAAAACGCAATTCGACGAAATTCTATGCGTGTTTAGTTGAGTAAGTCTTACATGGCGTAAATGACAGTTGTCTTTTCACCATTTCATCTTGCAGTGCTATACCAACACAACTATATAATCGGAAAGCAAGGGGTAGATATAGTTAAATGCGTTAAATTGATCGGTGATAGCAAATCCGCCAAAAATTATTCGTGAGAAAAATATTTATTTTCAAAAGGTTCAAATGATAAGAAATTCACCTGGCTTAAAGGTATTAAACTGTAATTGGTTCGCAAAATTTTACAACGTGATAAAATTGTAGAAACCTAGGTTCAATCAGATAAATACTACTTATTCACATTGAATCAAAATACAGAAATCTAAAGCTGAAATTACAATGAAAATGGCACAATAACCCAAAAAGGTGAGCATAATCCAGCTATCAGGAAATAAAAATCACGTAAAGATCACACATTAAAGTGAAAATAATTACACTCCATTGTGCAGGAAGCTCGCTTACTAATTGATACTCTGAGCGTGCAGAAGAGCAACTGTATGGTGAGGAAAAAATTATCATTGTGAAACATCTTGATCGCAATTACAGTTTGAACACTGCTCGCCAAAAATTAATACAATTTTACTACACACCGGGAAAGAAATGTTGCATACATAATGCATATCTATGGGAAACGAAAAGTAAGCCATGTTTTAAGTAGAATTGTTAACTTTTGAAATGGCGTGTTAAATCACGTCAAAAGCTGGTTCACTAATTATTTTATCTTCGGGTACTAAATAAATAAATAAAATTCTTAGTTTGGAAAACTTCGGGATGATTCGACACATTGCTCAATAATGCAGCTTATTTTGTAATGTTTTCTTTGTTATCTAGCAGTTTAAGAATTATTTGTGTTTCAAGGACTCGTCCTACACCACGAGCTAACGTCCATCCCTGCGATCCTTGTCAATAGAAACGTTATTAAACGTTATTAGTTGCAAGGTAGGGGTATCTATAATGAATTTAAAACTCAGTAAAGTAGAACACTTTGAAAATTAACTTTATAAATATTTTCATAAGATGGTTTTCCTGTATAAAGATATTGTTACTTATACAATATATGATCAAGTTCTCAAGTTATGTGGCGTACATTCTCTTCTAAGGGAAAATGTCATAAAGTTTCCCTAATAGATTAACTTGGCCCATATTATATTAGTTACAAACTAAACAGCTAATTTTCAACTTCTACATTAACTAATTCAGTTTAAAAATCTACTTTTCATGACCTGTGAATGTAGAAAGCCTACAGAAGAATTACCTTTCTCAATCACGACATACAGTAGTAAACCAAAGTTTTTTTAAACATTTAATTTAGCACATATTGTTTATAGGCAAATTTAATAATAAATACAAACAAAAGTGTTAGATTTACTATTACAATTAATAAAATTGTTACGTGATGTTGCAAGAGATGTGGGTAGTTTTTTGAAACTTTATTATCAGAGGTAAAATCATGCACATTTTTTTAAACCTGCTCATTTTCAAATATCGCCATTTATAGCTCTTTTCGGACATGGTATCTACAAACAAAAATATAAATAACAGCAGCTCTAAGGCATATGCCGATATCGGAAAAATCGCAGACGTTAGTCAGGTTCGAACATCCACTTTGTGGGTGAGAGTTAATCTAAAGCGGAAACCGCAGATGTGGCTTCCCGGACCATTCGAAAAATCCACGACTGGGAAATGTTCTCGTTTACGCGTCAGCGCCATTCGCGTCCGCAATGCAGAAACGGTAAAACAGAATGTGAAACAGAATACGTTTCCCTACAGTCGCTATCGCCGTCGTTCTTATATTTACGTTCGGTCCGTATCGATGATTTAGAAAACTTTTTGTCTCAATTTTGCGCAATCATTCTTCTTTCTTATCCTGGTTTACGAAAGAATGGTAGAAGAACGATGCAATTCGAATATGCTATTAGAGCTTTTAGGCTCATAAAAATTGATCGGGTAAACAATAGTCTAATTTACTGTTGGCGTCCAAGAGAATATGACACCTTCATTCTGATAGAAAAATCGCCATTTTGACAAAAAGTAATTCATTTCGATTACGGATAAACTATAATTGGAGCTGAAAATATAATTCCGATGTAAAAAAAGATGCTTCACAATTTGATCAATTCATTTGTTTGAAAAACACCAATTCATTGAATATATCCAGATAATGCCGCATGTAAGAAGTCTCATCCGCACCGCGTGCAATTTGTCGCTAAACATGTTGACACATTTGGGAATTGGATTACCGCTTATTTCTCTACACTCCACAGAACTTACAGCGAAAGCCCCAGCCTGACAAAGGTGCTGCTAGAGTTGTGTTATCGAATATCAGCAATATAAAGCGACGCGACAAAAGAAAATTGAAGACGCAATTCGACGTTAGCTCCGATATTACCAAAATTGGACGAGACGAAAAGTAAAATCGTATTACCGATAGTAAACACTTTTTATATAAACCTTGCAATTTCGAAACATTTTAACTAAAGTTCTTGATATAAATCTCCCTAGGAAATTGATATTTAAAAATCTCTGTACGCTCTAGCAACCATACCAACACGGATGACTTCGTGTCGTGACAGAAGGCTTCTTCACCTTTGGCATCGGCTTGCAACCACAAAAAGGGAATGTGTATATGCTCATAGTTCCCAGCCAAGTCTGAATGAAAAAACAGGCTAATAGCCAATTGTGAATAGTGACCGTAAGGCCAACAGAAGAAAAATAAGATAATATAAATTACCACTTTAATGTTTAATTACATTTCGATATCGAGCCGGAAAACTATATTTGAAAAATATTGTGAATCATTTTCAGTATCAATTTTCATGTATCAATGTGGCATAAAAATTCAGCCACAAAATAAATCGTGCACTTCATGATTCATGCAATCATGCTAGAAGGTAGAAAAACTTGTGTTGTACATTCAAGTTCCGATTCGAACCACTGCTAAGCCATGCTGCATCGAAAATATGGCAAAATGGGTAAAACGATCAAAGTTTCGAGCCGAAATTACTCTACTTTCAGCATTTTAGAGGGTCCTTTCAGAGCAAAGTTGTTTATTTATGAGTTGAACAAACGTACTATAAAAACAACTCTGAAATGATGAAAAATTGAATAACTTTTTGGGTAAAGCAGTAACAATAAATATAAAGGAGGTGGCGCTGATTATTAAATTTGTTCGAAAATACGAGTAGATTGTATGTTTTTCAACATGGTAGGTAATACAACTATTATGTTTCTACACTGACAGATTCCAATTTATGCAATATACATGCTACTTTCAATTTTGCGCTTGACAAGTAAGCTGATATCGATTAAAATATGTTAATTACAAATTGATCCTGGCCATATCAGAATGAATTACCTGCAGTGGAAGATTTCATGATTCATTTTAATAATGTAATTCGAAAAAGTGAACCATTAAGGTTAAAAACATTGCTGGGCGTAGAAATGTAATTATTTCATTCATTAAATATCATAAGTACATAACTGGAACTTTAATTGAATTGTAATAAAATAATCGCACGCACAAACTAATAACCATTGATAAAATGCCAAATAATTAGAGAGTTAATTAATAGCGTGTATGATATACAAACAAACCAAACTTTCACCAAGTCTAGATAAGTTTATTATCATGCATTCATATCAAACGATATGGAAACCCAACTGATTTCATTCGCTTTAATTAAATGTTTCATGCAATTATTATTTTTATTTTTATATTTAATTTTACTCTTCAAGTGTTTATTATCGAACGATAAGTTATATTCATGATTAAATTCTTATTTATTTAATTCATAAAACTAAAATAGAAATGTTACTCATATGTTTACCTAGTTTAGCAATAAAATTTATGATTTATCATAAGTATTTATCATTAGTAGTATATATTTATGTCAATTTAGCAACTTTGTATTGCCATGAGTTGTGTGCCCGCACCAGAGAGTCACCTCAAATAGCAGAATGGCTGAATTAGTCTCGTTTGGTGATTAGCCGGTTGCACGGTGGTTTACACGACTTGTTCTGTATTGTTTTCATGTGCCAAGAAACCCCGAAAATGATTAATTGAAATTCCTAGTTTGTTTGTGAGTTGCGCATTTCAAATAAAACAATTAAATTGGAATACATCCCAGCCATCAAGTTTTTTGATGAACCAAAAATGCGAAAACTAATGTTTTGGAATGTTCAAAGTATTATTCGAAATAATGTAAAACAATGTAGAAAATATTCGCTACTTATCTATCTAGCGAATTTATCTTCAAGTGAATATATGTATAATCCGTCCACATTTTTATAAAATTGTTCATTCAATATGAATTAATAAATCTGAAGTTAAAAGTTAGGAGAATTAAATAGATGAAAAAAATGCAAATTAAGCTAAAACCTTTCGGTGGAGTTCGAATGCGCGCTGTTTGTATACTTATATAACTCGTACCTTCGTCAATGTCGTTCCTCGCCGCCGCCTCCAATAACACAACGCTTTCATCGAAGACAATGTGCCTTTTGGTAGACTTTTTAGTCGTTTTGCGCGAGTTCTCCCTTTCTCGCATCTGCCAAATCTTAAGCTGCTGCATTCGACGATGCTTCGCCTGACGAAGGCGATCCTGCGTCGACATCTGTTCGGTGATGACCATGTCCTTAACCAGTTCGGAGTGCTCCATTTTGAGCGGGGTATGTTTCACCAGACTTTATTGTCCTTTCAGCGGAATTGTTTGAATGGCGCAGCAATATGCGGCGCCTAATCGCTTTATGATTGGGAATGTACACACGCGTCGTACTCAAAATGACGCAGAGCAGGTACCACACATAAAATCTTCCACCTAAAATCAAAAACGCAAAATTAGTTAATCCAGAAGTGCATATGCTTATCATGCTACAAATTAGTTAATACTATTAACCTATAAAAACGCCAAATTTGCCAAGCGCATTTGAATCATATAATAGTTATGTTAATTAGCCATTATCGCACCATCCTTCATGATTGTTGTTAAATTTATACAATAATGGTTTCGCGGAACATCGTGGCAATTTGGCCGCGTGTAAATGCGTTCGTGTGAATACAATTCTACGCTGAGCTCAATCGGTTGTCATGGTGTCATCACACTTTTTAAATCTCGCACTTTTCACTAAATCACAAATAAAAATGTAAAAGTCTCACGATCACACTTACATGACTTCTAATTTGGCAATTTTATTATAACTAATAAATAAATCACATGCAAAATTAGTAAAGAACTGGTGCCACGACGTTTGCGATATATTTTAATAAATCATACGTCGTGGAAACTAATCGCGATGATATCAAATTATCACGCGAACGAGAATGGAGCCCGACTGCACTTTCATCAAAGCCAGATAGTTATCTTATCACTTGTCGAAATTGAGCTATCGTCGCCAAAGTCTGAGTTGTATACAAAAACATTACGTTTATCATTGTCCAATATCTTATTCATCCTATGAGATATATTCCATCAATTATTTATCGTCAATATAACACTTATTCAGCCATTCTAAATTTACCAATGTTATAAATATATAGTGCCAGGTTTGATTAAAGTGGAGATTTTTTGGTGTTAATTAAATTAGCAACATTTACTGCTAATTTAATAATCGATGCTAAACGCAGCTGCTGAACTTGATAACAAGCAACGCGTGTAGGTATGTTTAATTTGGAAAACCAGAACAAACTCAAACTTGTCACTTGTCACGTCGTGAATTATTGTAATGAATATAATTATATACAATGTTTACACGCCGCAGACGACACTGGGGACCATGGTTAGTAGGTATTACATGACAACCTGCCTAGCTTCAGTAAATACAGTATATAAATATGTTGTAATATTTCAAACGATTTTAACACAAACTAAAATTTCGTATAAATACAGTTTTTTTTTAATTATAAATGTAATTTAGTAATACCTTTTGAGCCACTCGTAATCAGATGTTCTGCATTTGATATAAAATGTGTGGCCAAACTATTACATCCTAAACGGTTAGTTTATACCTACTAAGTACAAGGCATTAGGCACATCGCAAACAAATATGTGAACATATAAATTATATTTTTTTTTATTGATGGACAGATATAGGTAATATGAGTGGGCTAAGTGCTACATTGGAATGAGAAATCGTGAGCTGCCACCACATGTTATGCGCTTTATCTAAGCGGAAATGTAATGGCTGATGGAAAGCACGGCAATCCTTGAAACTGCATGCCCGAAGGGAAATTGCTCATCACTATCAGTGGCACACTGGCAAGCAGCATGAAGTTAAGAGCTGACTTAACTCAATAGAAGGTTAAACCAACCATAAAATACAAATATTGCAATAACAAAGTGCGAGTTTGCACGGTCGTAAATAATTGTTTTTGGTAAAAATACCAACTTTAATGAGTCAGTTGTAAACACGGTTCTAATACCTGCTCTTTTTATTTGTGCATAGTATATAGTGTACATAATACATAATGTTTATTAATTTAAGTGTCTGTGTGTAGCACAGTTATATTTGCAAAAAAGTCGAACAAGTTAAATTTATTCACATGGTGCTGAAAATTTGAAGAGGTTAATATTATACCTAATAACAATTCAAAAATCGCTCGAAAATTATAGATCATGTAACCAATCAAAACCACAGCCAAAGTTGAGCGTGTTGTATATATATTTCAGGTATTGAGCATATAATGAGGAGTAATATTTCAAACGGCTATCAGAAAACATTGGGAATATTAGGGGAAAACGCATCAAAATAATCTCAATGTCAACAAATTTTCAGCTTTATGAGAAGTCATGTAACTTAAGCTACATTTTTTGCTCATTTGATTATTACAGTGCCTAGCAAAAACAAACTAATATATAAAAGACGAATTTTTGTAATAAGGCATTTTATCATCACGAGTACCATTAACTCCCAGTAACTTAAGCCATGGATAAAAGAAGACAGCAAAACGTATAAAATTAAGCCTATTCATAAAGTATTCCACATTGTGAAGAAAACGAATTGCAATCAGGTTACGAGCCGTGCATGGTGGTGCGTGGCATGACAAGGGCTTACTTTAGATATGCATGGGCGGCACCGACAGCACCCAGTCGTGGGGTGTAATGGCCTGGAAATAGGTTCATTATTCCAAAGGGTCTGTGCTCCCACCAGCGTCGCCGCCAACCATGGTGCAAACATCAAGCGGTACGACAAGGCAAACGTAGGTAGGGCGCAAGGGCGCAACGTAATGCAACTGTTATCGAAAGTGAAAAAAACATCCACGAAAATGAATACTGCTTTCGACAGCATGCTTTCAAATCGAGCAGCAGCCTAGTGTATGTGTATCAATAGAAAAAAAAGTTTGAAACTTTTTAACTAGATTTAAAACCAAAACAAAAATAATTAGAAGGTATTCCATGAATTATTCAACTAAATTCTCAAGTGGAAACATGAGCATATATATGTAGATCAAACAGTCACCGTATTATTATATATAATATTTTTTACTTTGAAATAGGTTTCACTTTTGATCTATGAATATTTTTGCAAGCAGATAAAGTTGATTGAACCCGACCCAGTCTAGGAAATCGCCGTAACATACATATGCAAATCGAAACTCGCAGGCGTCGAAAGTGGGGACGGATTGCATTGAATATTTCATCATCGCAAACTTCGCCGTCGCTGCATCACACACCGACGCCGGTCCCAAGCCCGGACAAAGAAGGAGGGTTGTAGGGTGAGGCCAGCGACCTACCCTACGTAAAAAACATCAGTGCTCATAGAACCAGACAAGGGCCTCGGTTACGGACAGATCAACGACGACAACCCAAGCAAAGTACACGGACAAAGAGAAGATTACAAAACATAACCTTAAAATCGCCACATGGAACATAAAATCGCTCAACAGAAGAGACCAAGAAATGGAGCAAGAATTAAGAAACCACCACATTGATATCTGCGCACTTCAAGAAACTAAGAAAAAGGGAAAAGGTCAGGCAGTAGTTGGAGATTATCTACTAGCATACAGCGGTGTAGAGAGGAACGAGCGAGCAAAAAAAGGAGTCGCAATCATGTTTCACAAAAGTTAGTAGATCACATTATAGACATCACGTACGTTTCAGCCAGAATAATACACGCAAAACTGCTGCTAGACAGGAAACGCACCAACATTATAAGTATTTACGCTCCAGAAAACTGCAGACCCCAAGACGTAAGAGAAGAATTCTTTAACTCACTGCAACATGTTTTAGACAGCCATAAGAACGAAGCGACTATCATCCTAGGAGACTTTAACTCAAGGATTGGCAACAGAATCATACCCGGAGTTAAGCAGAGATTCAACGAGGAAACAGAAAACGAAAATGGAACGCTGATGACTAACCTATGCACAATCAACGAACTACGAATAAATAACACATATTACGAACACAAACAACAACACAAACACACGTATTGTAACTCAAGGGGACACACATCAACAATCGACTTCATTGTGACAAACCGAGTAATTCCACCAACCAGCATATTAGATGTAAGAAGCTTAACCTCGGCAGACATAGGAAGCGATCATGCCCTCGTGATTGGGAAGCTGAGACTAATATCCCTCCAAAAGAAACAAGCAAAAACATGCGAAGAGCGCACAAAAATAAAAACAGAAGGACTAGCTGACCAAACAACCAGAGAACTATATGCAAACAGACTGAAGGAGAAAGTTACAAACAACAACATACAAGAAGGAGATAACGTTGATACGGCATGGGAAAGGCTGAAAAGCAACATACAACAGGCTGCCGAAGAAGCGCTAGGCAGGAAGATCATCAAGAAACCGAATCCTTTTGCTAAGAGAACTCCATGGTTCACCGAGGAAATCAAAATGAAATGCAAGGAAAAAAAAGCAGGCACACATTCAACACCTCACGCAAAGAACGCAAGAATCATACGAAAGTTACAAACAAATCCGCAGAGAAACGCACGAGTTAGTACGGAAGACGAAATCCGAACACTGGAGGATCTTCTCAAAACAACTAGAACATGACTTCTATGGAACCCAAAAGACAGTATGGAAGACCATAAGAAACCAGAGAAAAGAGCTCACAGAACTGGTACAAGCAAAGGGAATAGACAAAGAGACCTGGATAAACTACATCAAACATCTATACCGGGACACAAACCAGGAGAAACCTAATATCTCAGTCAACATACAACCTGATGAACCAACCATAGTAAGCATATCTGAGGTGGAAACAGAACTCGCTAAACTCAGAAACAGAAAAGCCAGTGGCCCGGACGGAATACCCAATGACCTCCTGAAATACGGCGAAGAAGTGCTCGCGGCCGAAATTACGAAACTTATCAACATCATCCTGAAGCATCAGAGAGTACCAACTGAATGGAAATTGAGCACACTAATAATGATGTTTAAGAAAGGAGATAAGCAAGAACCATCCAACTATCGAGGAATAGCTCTGCTAAACACCACCCTGAAACTAACAACTCGATTACTAGCGAACAAGATATTAGCACACACCACACTATCAGACGAACAACAGGGCTTCAGGAAAGGAAGGTCCTGTAACGACGCAATATTCATAATAAGACAGGTGAAGGAAAAAGCCGTGGAGTGGAACAAACCGGCTTTTCTTTCCTTCGTGGACCTAAGGAAAGCGTTTGACAGAGTGCAGCTCCAAGACATAACCAGCATACTCCGAAAAAGAAACATCGCATCTGATATCATCAATACTATAAGGGACATCTACAACAACAACGAACTGCAACTAGCAATAGCCGAACAACGCACAGACCCCATAAAAGTAGGAACAGGGGTAAGACAAGGCGATTCCCT